TGCTGTTGTGCAGTGATATTTTGTGTTGCAATGTGTTGTGTTGTTAATACCATATTGTTAGTGTTACCATATTTTGTGTTATTCGCTTGTGTTGATCATTACTTTTTCATTAGGCATTGGCCACTTTGATCACAGAGAGCGCTCATCAGTGTTGATCATTGGGCATCAGCTAAACCGACCGTAAATTGCGTGCGGTTGTATCGATCATTAGGCATCGGCCATTTTTATTGCAAAGAGCACGCATCAGTGTTGATCATTTGGCATCGGCTAAACCGATCATAAATCGCGTGCTCTTGTGTCGTTCATTAGGCAATGGCCACTTTGATCGCAGAGGGCGCGCTTCTGTGTTGATCATTGGGAATCGGCTAAACCGATCGTAAATCGCGCGCGCTTGTGTCGATCATTAGGCATCTTCCACTTTGATCGCAAAGAGCGCGCATCAGTCAGTATTGATCATTGGCATCGGCTAAAACGATCGTAAATCGCGCGCGCTTGTGTCGATCATTAGGCATCTTCCACTTTGATCGCAAAGAGCGCGCATCAGTAGTGATCATTGGGCATCGGCTAAACCGATCGTAAATCGCACGCGCTTGTGTCGATCATTAGGGCTAGGCATCGGCCACTTCGATCGCAAAGAGCGCGCATCAGTGTTGATCATTGGCATTGGCTATATAGATCTTAAAGCACGTCTGTTTGTGACGATCGCCAGGCATCAATCGTAAAGTATGTGTGCCTGTGTCGATCATGCAGCATTGGTGAGGGTTACACTTTCGTTTTTAGCAAGCATATTGGCAACTTTCTTCCCTGGCGTACTGGCGTACATCCGAAAACAAACCTCCGGCGTACACGCTGCACCTTCCTGACCATGGCTGTCTAGTGACATTATTACTTGTGTTCAAATTCAATCATATTCACATATTGGCAATGACAAAGCACTGAAAGCCAAGACTCTCCAGATTTTTTAGAATCAGTTCATTTTTAATTTTCTCATCTATGATCTAGGAAAACCTACTCAAGATTTACAATTTCTTATGTACAATAAAGTCAATAATGTTGGTATCCATGCTACTTTATATACTGCTCTACTTATAGAACTCAAAAATGAACTTGAAGAAGACTAGAAGAGTCTGAAAAATCTGCTTTGACACTATGTCTATGAGGCTAGGTATGATAGTCTTTAAGTCTTAGTCTATGGATACCTAGCAACCTATTCTTTGTACTGGCTTGGCTTGACACAAAAACAGGACTTCAATGCCTGAATCTGTGAATCAAACCCATGATCCCATCAATAGGTGAGCTAAACTGTTATTGTTAGGAATAATTTGAACTCAGCTAGTTACTTACAAGCTAATATTGCGGTTTCCGCTGACGTTAGAGCTTCCATTGACATCTGTACTCTGGCTGGTCTTTCTGGGCCAACCACTGCCCGAATTAGGGTTGGTGCGAGGTTTTTTGTCAATACTCGCCATACTTATGAACAGAAAAACTATTGCCCAACTCTTTTTAAATGGGTTAAACAATTAAAATAGAAAAAAGAAGTTATAGTAAACAATTTTTACTGAAGCGGCTCACGATACCCAATTCAAGCGTTCGTGGTCTTCGAAGTTCGAGTGCAAGGAAAGGCCAGGCGTAAAAAATTGTTACCCTAAATGGTATTTTTTTTTGCAATTAAATTATTCTAACCTGACAACATAAATGAATAAACTAATCGTTTGCAGCCTCATAGTTCCATGTGAAATTTAATACAAATTATTCTGAAGTTATTATGATAAATTAAATGTCAAGATTGGCAGGACGATGACGAGCGAGTTACTCTCCGAGACGCTGAAGCAAAAGTAAAAACGTGTTCAAACATCAGTGAGGTTACGAATGTTGAAGAGGCTATTGAATCAGCTGAAACACAGTATTTCGTTCACATATTTTTACACAATGAAAGAACACCTCAGCAATGATGTTGTAAGTTAGTGATAGTTTTACGAGAGTAGTTATTGGAACAGGTTCTTGGAAATAAAAATTAGTCGTAGAAATTACATATACGTTAAGCATAGGAGTGTCGGCATTGAAGAAATAGGCCTTTTGCCGATTCTTGAACTTTCGTGACTTGATTACCCTATATTATTATAGCAGTGTCGGCATTGAAGAAATAGGCCTTTTGCCGATTCTTGAACTTTCGTGACTTGATTCACAAGGGATCCGGCCTTTGGAACCCGATCTTTTCATAACTGACGAGTGACGATTGTTTGAGATGGGCTAGCTGCTGGACTTATTGCCTGGTCCGTAATTTGCTAGGCATTTTAAGACTTGTTTATAGAAGAATAAATTGTTTACAGTGATCTGAATTATTCATTTGCGACAAAAACTATATAATGCTGTCCTTTTTCTTTTCAGTTTATGTCTGAGCTCACTCTAATGTTTCATCATGCTCGGGACAAAGGAACTGTCACTCTCAGCATTAAAAGATGTAAGTTGGATCCCATGCAAGATAGAATAGATGCAAACAACAGTAAATGGGTTAGTTTCAGCATGCAAGGAAAACTAATGTGTTAATCAGGCTATGGAAGTGATATGATGTCGTGCTTTTCATATGTTTCTCATCTCATATTTGTTTTTCATATTTTACTACTTTTCTCCAGGCTCCAGGCTACAAAAAAGAAGAAGAGCCAGGAGGTACCCCTCCTCTCCAGGCCCTCCTTATAATACCCATGTAATTTATAATTTACAGGTATTACAGGCCCTCCTTAAAATATTTAATAATATACCGTAAAATGGGGTAACTTAGACCACTTTTTTTCTTATAAATGATGCCATTTTCTTACTAGCTAAATTAAACTTGAATTGAAACATGCAAAATACAGGTCTATACTCTAGCTTCACTCACCATAAATTGCTGGCTCCTGCCTCTCATAGTCTTTATGTAATTTCAAAAAAAGTGATGGTCTTTGTTACCCCAGCTCTTGGGGTAACTTAGACCGGGTGGTAAAATCAATTATATTTTTTGGTAAAATAACTCCAAATAACTCCAGGTTTTGGTGCATTGTAGTAGAACTCTTCTAGTTACATATGCAAATGACAAACTTGAGGAAAGTGTCATAGTTTGCAAATGGGGGGCGCCGCCCCATAATGAGGGAAATGTGACTACCTAATGGCAGCCCTGATGGGGTAATATTGACTGGCTTGGAAATTAAGTTAAAATTACCATATATAAGACTCTGTAGAGTCTGAAACATAAAGAAAAAACATAAATAGGCTGTCAAACATAAAATATGTTATATATGGTAATTTTATATTAACTTCCAAGCCGGTCTATGTTACCCCGTCAGGGCTGACATTAGGTGGTCTAAGTTACCCCATTTGGGGGCGGCGCCCCCCATTTGCAAACTATGACACTTTCCTAAAATTTGTCATTTGCATATGTAACTAGAAGAGTTCTACTACAATGCATCAAAACCTGGAGTTATTTAACCAAAAAATAAAAAAATTGGAGGGGGTACTCTGACAGGCTTTAAATAATAGCTTTTTTTCGTGGGTCACATTTTTAATTTTTTAACCTATTAGATATGCAAACTTTTCAAATCTTTCTATTGTGTTATGTAGCCTCAGTATTAGGCCTTTAATGCCCATTGACAAAATTTTTCTATGTCAAATAGTTTTTGAGTTGTGGGGGTTTTTGTTAAAAAAACAAAAAGTGGTCTAAGTTACCCCGCCGGTCTAAGTTACCCCATTTTACGGTATCAGGGATAACAGCATTGTTGTTGTTGTTAGTTGCGACCGTCACGCTCGCCAGGGGTGGAGGCTCTGGTGGAGGGCAGGGGGCTGGAACCAGAAGAGGGGGGAGGTGGGCAAAGGCAGGGAGGGTGGCCAGGAAAGCTGCTGCCTTCACGGGGTTGTGTCACAGTGAGGAGATGCTGAGAGACGTGGGGAATGTGGGGCAGACAAAGAGGTGCTGAACAGATTGGAGGGAATTCCCGCACTCCGGGCAGGCGGAGCTAGCGGAGCATCCGATCCTGGTAGAATAGGACGCCAGGGAGCTTCAGTATCCCGAGCGGAGCTGGGATAACACTGAGCGGTAGGGGCAAGGGAGTGGGGTCTCCACTGAAGCAATTGGCGGTGGCGGGGCAGCAAGGACAGCGTTTATGGCGGCAGTTGCCACCACGCGGGAAGTAATCTCCCTGCGGAGAGACTGCTTGGCTTCTCCGTATGTCCCGGCAGGCAAGATACCATTTGTCAAGAGTGGTGTGACAAGATGGCCAAGCCTTGATTGTATCGAGGCTTTCATAGGGCGGTCACCAAGAGGGGCAGAAACCATGCAAAAGGAAGCATGGGAGGGCGCTGGCGAGGAACTGGGCGCAAGCCAGGTCCAGGTGCGCGGGCAAAGGGAGGACGCCAGTCTCCTGGTGCAGATGGGAGATTGGGGCCATTTTGAGGCAGCCAGTGGCTAGTCTCAATGCAGTATTCTGTATAATCTGCAGGCTGGCAATTGCTGAGCAGGAGGCAACAGGGTACCAGATGGGGGCTGGGTAGTTGAGAAGGGATAACAGCATTAACACAAATAAGAAATTGGTTTAAATGATTCTAAAAAATCTCTGGTTTGTCATTATGTTAATCATGGATTGCACTTGCAGCCTGTGAATAAAGCAATAAATAATGCTGTCATTGCATGCAAGTTGGGAAAAGTCTTACTTATTTCCAAAATATTGCAGCTCTAATATCATATTATTTTAGTAGGTATGAAATCTTGCAACTCTAATGTCATATATTTTTGTTCGATTGAAAAAATTGCAGTTTTCAGCAAACGTGTCATTTCATTAAATTATTAGCTTCCACAATCTGCAGTAATTCAATGCTGCCACCAAAATATCCTGCAGACTGTAATAAGAACAATTCAACCCAAAACTTTTTTAAAAGATCGCATAGTTACAGTCATGTCAAAGCGGTCAAACTGCATTATCAAGTGTTCTGTTGCCACTAAAGTAAAGACATATGTTATTTTTGCTGTTTGACTGATTTTAGGGTAAAATTTGAGATTGTAGGAACATGTGTACAAGACTTTGTAAATAAGTTTGTGGCTTGTAAATGGCTCTACATTCATGGCTGGCAAATCAATAAAACCATGGCTCAAAAAATCCAGTTGCTACTCACCAAGTAGATGAATTCCATGCCTGATTGTGTGTATCTCTCACTTGTTTTATATAATTGCTTGTATGTCACAGCCAGCAATCGTAATGGGCGTTTGTTCATGCCAATCATCCAGCTTTGCCTAATGACCAAAACAATCATAATGCCCATATATCCATGTTGCTATGCCAATCATCTTGCATCAGCTGCAACAATCTTAATAAGTGTTTGTACATGGCAATCAGGCAATCATTGCGTATTGGCCGTAATGATTGTAATGCACGCAAATCCGTGCGGACTGTGCTAAACTTGCATCAGCCATATTGATCCTAAATTGCAATCTATGACTATAAAGAAGCATAATTGGCAACTGCTGTCTGCCTTGATTGTACCTTGACATCTTTGGGGCAATGAGGTTGGCATCCTTACTGTCTGGAATTGTGCCATAATTACTGTCTGGAAATTGTTTTGCTTCTAAGGCTCACTCTTGTACAATTTTGACATCTGCCTACTTGATACCTATATCTGGAAATCTTATGGTTTGATATTGTTCTTTAATTAAGGAGTAAGTAATAATTTATCTAGTGGCAACCCTGCAGCTCAAAAAACAGCAGGTATCCTCTTGTTGTGGCTCAGCAAGTAGATACATTTCAAATCTGTCTGTTGCAGGGAGATGTATATATTTTCTCTATTTTCCTGTGCAAATTAGGTTCCTGAAAGCAATGGTCTGTGCAGTACTGTAGTCTGCACAGGAAAGTTGAAGAAATCAACCTGAGTGATGAATGTCCCTGCTGCATGCATGGTGGAATTCTAGGAAATGGTTGGTCATTTAGATCCACCAGGACAGCCAGAGCACTCCAGTGCTACTCACTTTAGGAGAGGTGGCTGTGGGCTCGAAGATGAGCAAGCCTGCAGCAGCGGCAGTGCTCTCGCACCGCCACAATAGGAGCGGGACAAGCGCTGCTGCTGCGGCCTACCAGTTGATATTGGGTTGGGCAGCTGTCCCGCTCACATTGATACAAACCTGCTCCTATTTTAGGCCACTACATTGCAGCAGCTAGCATTGCAATCAGCGCATTTGTCACTAATCTTCATAAGTGAGGGACAAGGATACAATAATATCAGTCATCACACAGCTGCAGCTGTTGGCAGCAGTAGGCCTCAAACTATATGTTGAATATATATTATATATGTTAACTATGTACATCAAAGATGTACATTTTTGGGGAATTAGCTCTTTCAAAATGAGCTTTCTGAATGCTATGGTCTGCGTGGTTTATGCAGAACAATCTCAATATGATTAGTTTGTGCAGATGTTCATGCAATGAGAGTGAAGGCATTGCAGCAGCCAGCATTGAATGCAACTTGTTAGTCACTGATATGTGCACAGGAGTTTTGAATCACATAGATACAATTGCATTGTCAGCACATAGCCGCAGCTATGTGCATCAGCAGTAGCTGCATTGAAATATATACAGTTATTAATGTGTTAAAAGCATTGTCATGTGGTGGCCTTGTGAAAGATATTGCATCATTGCATAGGTGCAGCTGCTGGCAGCAGAGACATCATACTATATACGGTTATAAATGCCATCAATCAGGGTAAACGGTGATGGGCAGGGTAAAAAGAGACAGTCCTCCAACATTTTGAACAAATGTTGTAGCAGCTGAACTAATTAAAATATTGCAAAACTAAAAATAGTGGTGAAAAGTTCAACCTTTTTACTATCTATGCAGCATAAAGCAAGTTGAAAAATCATACATTTATTACCTCTAAAAAATCCCTGAAAAAAAGTGTGAAAAGTGAGATTTTGGAAAAGTACCTCTGCTAAAGTCTGTAGCAGAAAAAATATTTGTTGTATTGAAAATTTTTACTTACATAAAATTTGCACACTAGTGTTGGCTTAAAAACGTGATTGACAGAATTCGCATATCTCATTCCAAGAAAAAATGGTGGCCATTTCTGCAAAATGGGGTAATAAGTGACACCCCCCTGGGGTAATAAGAGACACCCCTAAAAACGCATTTACAGTAGAACCTTGGTTAGCAGAGGCTCCAGTTAATGAAAAAATCAATTAACAAAAAAGAATTTTGATTACATTTACCTTGCTCAGTGAAAAAAATTTCACCTAATTAAAAGTTACTGCATCAGTCATCACAAAATTGTGCATAGAATATCACAGATAGAATTGAGCACTGGGCAACAAAGAATGAAAAGTAATTAACCTAAACTATGATTTATTTTTCCAAAAATATGATGGTTGTCACTAAAATATTCCTTACTGTTTCAGGTATGTTTTTTACAATCTTTTTTGTTATAGTGAAATCACTTCACTAGATTAAAATTGTGCCAAATTACAAACCATCCTGTAAGCTTACAGATGCAGAAGAAGTGCTACATGGCTGCTGATATGAAGCTTGCAGTGGACAAGGTTGTTGTCAATGCTCAATGGCATGTCCATGGATACAGTAATATCACATTAATAATACAGTAATGTATGGATAAGGTAATATTATATCAATGAAGAAAAAACAAGTAATAGTCACAGAAAATTTAATTTATTCTACATTTACATCATCTACAAAGGAAGAGGAGGACTTCAGAGTACTGTTAGCAATAGATGAGTACACTCTGCATGCTTGAAATGTTTGAAAGGGGGAAAGGTTTGAAAGTTTTATTTCAAGTGTCCCTTTTTACCCCATTTTCAGATTAATTTAGGAGCCTTTTATATTGCATCTAGCACCTTAAAAAAAGTATATGGAATTTTTTGGAGATGCCATACAATAGCCCTTGCAAAGCCCTTTAAAATGAGCCCAAACTTGTTTATGAAATGTTTCATGGTAAGAAGTTATTAACAAAAACCGCTCAAAACCCATTTGATGGTATGCTATGTACATTGCTGCGTGGTGGTGTTGTTGCCACTCACCCATGTTAAAACTATTATTATATTAGTTATGGCACATGGTCCATTTTTTTTACATATTATCGCACACCGTTGTAGATTTAAAAATTGAAAACAAATTTCATGCATCTGGCACATCTTTTAGACTATGGCATAACTGTAACCTGGTCACATGGTAGGGTTAACCCCAGGGTTGGTGATTTTTTTTAATAAAAAATCAATGATTTTTTATTTTTTCATAATTTTATTTATTTATTTGATTTTTCATTTGTTCAGGTTTTTTTTTTTTTGTCTTTTTGAAATGTTATTTTTTATGCTGCAATTAGCCTGCTAACAATAACAGTATATGGATGGCCAAAAAGGGGAGTTATTGCCTTCAAAAATGGCCAAGGTGGTGTTTAACACTTTGAGACTTTTGGGTAAACAATTATTTAAACAATTATGTCTATTCATTAGCTTTGTAAAGTTTGTATGGAGCAAGGTAAGAAGCTAAATATTTATTGACCATTTAACTGGCTTCAATATACAACACTTCAGGAATGCTGATCTTCTAAACATTGAAGAGTCACATAACAGATAGGTAGCTGATAGCACAGTCAACAGTGCACAGCACTATCAATTGATCTCCTAGTTTTATGTCCTATAAATCTAGTAGACTCTACCCTCTAAACACACCAACTAGTAGTGTCTGAGTGACTGGTTGCACTGTTCTCATTTGATTCAGACCAATAAACCAATACCGTCAAACGGGGTAATAAGGGACAGTTTTAAGCTTTTTTTGTTGATAACTTCTTACCATGTAACATTTCAAAAACGAGTTTGAGCTCATTTTAAAGCTATTTGCAAGGGCTATTGACTGGCATCTAAAAAAAAACATATGCTATACTACCGGTTTATATATGTAGGTACATGAGGCGCCAGATGCAAAATAGAAGCGTCCCAAATTACCCCTGGGAACGGGGTAATCCAGGACACTTGCAATAAAACTTAATTTTAAAATGTTTGAAGCATGCAGAGTGTCCTCATCTATTACTAACAGTACTCTGAAGTCCTCTTTTATTGTAGATGATGTAGAGGTAGAATAAATGACATTTTCTGTGATTTTTATTTGGTTTTCCTTTATTGATATGACATTACCATATTTATTAATTACCGCATTATTGATGTGATATTACCATATCCATGAACATGCCATTGAGCATTTACAACGACCTTGTCCACTGCAAGCTTCATATCTGCAGCCATATAGCATTTCTTCTGTATCTGTAAGCTTACAGGACAGCTTGTAATTTCACAACATTTTCATTGGATTAAGTGACTTCACTATAAAAAAAGTTGTAAAAAACATACCTGAAACAAAAAGGAATGTTTTAGTGACAACCATCATATGTTTTGGAGAAATAAATCATAGTTTAGGTCAATTACTTTTTATTCTGTGATGCCCAGTGTACGATTCTATGTGTGACATTCTATGCACAATTTTGTGATGACTGATGATGCACTAATTTGTCGACTAGTGGAATTTTTTTTGCTGAGCAAGGTAAGTATAATCAAAATTCTTTGTTGTTAATCAATTTTTTATTAACTGGAGCCTTTGCTAGCTGAGGTTCTACTGTAAATGTGTTTTTAAGAGTGTCCCTTATTACCCTGGGGGGGGGGGGTTGTCCCTCATTACCCCATCATGCGGAAATGGCTGCCATTTTTGGGTGGGAATGAGATAGGCAAATTCCGTCAATCATGTTTTCAAGCCAACACCTGTGTGCAACTTTTATGTATGTAAAATTCAATAATATGGCAAATATTTTTTTTGCTCCAGACCTTAGTAGAAGTACTGGTCCAAAATCTCACTCTTCACACTTTTTTTCTGCAATTTTTAGAGATAGTAAATGTACAATTTCTTAACTAGCTTTATACATAATAGATAGTAAAACTGTTTAAGTTTATGCCACTATTTTTAGTTTTGCAATATTTTGATTAGTTTAGCTGCTACAACATTTCTACCAAATGTGGGATGCGCGTCCTGATTTACCCCACCCGTCCCTTATTACCCTGTTTGACAGTAACTAAATATAAACCGAACGACAACCAAACAAACCTCAAATGACTTGAAATGAGACTAATGTTATGAGAAAAGCTAACACTGTTTGAATTAAAAATGTACACAATTCAAACATTTTATTTCCATTCATGGCATTTAATTATTTTATATATAGTTTTATAATTGTAATTGTTTTGTTTCTAGTTATAGATTCACATATTTAAAGATTGAAATGAAATATTTTAATTAGAATACTATTGGTATTAATATTAGGGTTGATATCTTTCTAAATGAGTACGTAAATGGTCAATACAATCTCAACCAACCCTTCTTATATGAGCTAGCTAACACATTTAATTGTATAATGTTATTAATATATAACAAATAGTTAAAGACTATTTATAGCCTTATACGAATTGGCTAAGCTGCTAGCTATGTACTATGTATTGATACAATTTATGCCCCTGTACTTATAACATTCAATTCATTATAATGTAATACACACTAAAGGCAGCAAGTTTATATTGCAAATTGTCATAGTACATTTATACTAAACTATGAATAACAATACCTAAAAATAAATTAAAGACTGTCACTCTATACGTATATTTAAATACATAAAAAAGATAATAAATGAGAAAAAAAATAATAAAATCATGATTTTTTTATAAAAAATCAAATGATTTAATCACATGATTTAATCAGTTTGATTTAATCAATGCCAACCCTGGCTTACCCCAATCTCACTGTTTATTTTGGCAATTGTGTCCAATATCAGGTTTTAAGGACCAAAATGTTGCCAGTGTTCATAAATGATTTTTATCCTGAACTACTTCAATGAGCCTCCTCAAGATTTCTTTTCAAAAATACATGTAAACTTGTAGAAAGGTATCAAAGTCATCTGAAGACAAAGATTGTGATGCTGAGCTTTTATGTCACCTAAGCCCTAATATCTTCAGATGTTAACTCATTCTGTGCACCCTGGCAGTTGAACTTGAGATGTTACAATTGAATGTCTGAATGTTCTTGATTTTTCAGCAGGTCCTTGAAAAATTGCAAAAAAAATTGATTTCTTTCACTGGAAATAGTAATATTTAGGAACTATAATACTTTATTTATCTGGGAATTTTTATCTCCACCAAGTTTTACAACTATTATTCTGGAATAAAAGGTTGTTTAAGTTGCTTTTTAGTTTTGTCTACTTGAGATTTATCAATCAATAGACTATACAATAGATTTACAATATACAATAGATATACGTAATAGATTTATCAGCCAATATGTGCTTTTATTCTTAGTCCTTACTCAATTAAATGTAAAATGTATGCTTCATTATTGCAGATGATGGCCGTAAGGTTCCCATTCCTAAGACAAGGACAAAGAAGGGCAAGATTGTCAAAGTTGCTGAACCTCTTCCCGAGCCAGAAACCTTCAGTTGTCTCCTACGAGCTAGACATCATAGCAAAACCATCAGTTCTGTTGTAAGATTTTTTTTAATTTTTTTAACATAACCAGCATTTTAATTACATAGCAACTACTTCAAAATGGTTACCACCTTTCATTAGTATTTTTTCTTCCAACATTTAATCATTATGCTGTATGATGAATTTTCACTATATTACTTATAGTAATTTTCTGAAATTTTTTTTTTGTTTCATTCCATTATTGCTCCTTCATTACAGGAGTAACTATTTGCCATCATTACATTAAACAGTATTTAAATCCAAATCATTCATGACTAGTTTACTCTAATCTTCCTTTCACATTATGAAATGATCTCTGTGCAGGTTAAAGCCAGTGAGGTGGTCAAATACCAAGCCCAGTTTGCTCAGTTCCTTCGCTCCAGTATGGATGGATTAAGGAAGGAGAAGAAGCCAAGAAAGAGAGTAAAAAGCAAAAAGGCTACTCAATAATTATTAGCTAAACTGCTTAGCAATTTATACATTATATTTATATGTGAGGTTGATAGGAAGGTTGCCATGCCTGTTAAGGTTGGGTGCACTGAGGGAAATTTCCTTTATTTTCACGCCATCACTATGCTATAAAATAAGCAATTGCAACTATGCTGCTAAAGTACCTTCAATGTTTTTGTATTTTTGTTGCTTGATTTGTTTCATGGACAAATTGATGGAAAATCCAAGGAAATAAAAATTTCATCTCGCACTCAGTTGCCCTCTTACTCATTGTTCATTTTCTTGTTGGGGTGCATAAAATTTTGTATTGTGTTATTTCTGTGTCTGTCTCAATGCAACGTTTTTTATATATTATTATTATTTTTAATAAATCGAAACTATTTGTTTAAATTAATAAACTTGTTGAAATTTTGAATAACGGATAAATTTGTTCATCAAGTGGATTTTTAAAAAAATTGTCATAACTTATCCTAGCAATTAACTTTTGTTGGCCGCACATTCCTCTTCTATTACAGCTGCAGTATCAGGATTTCCTTAGCTTGCTTTATTTATGTACATTTTATGTTTGATTTAGTGCCTAGTAGCAAATTGTCCATATTGAATATGTAAAATGGTATTATAGTGTTAATTCTGCACTTGCTGCTAAATTAGGGGCAATATCTGTCATTGAGGTTCGGTTGAGCGCTTGTTTCATTGATAAATCTATAATACTGAAATTTTAAACATCATTTAGGTTATTTTCTTTGGTTCTCACATGCATGTTATTTGATCAACTTGATTCGATTTCATGTCAAATTTGGTGGGCTCCCAAGTTTTCAGTTGTTTAATGTCTTAATTCATGTTCCATCTTTGCATCATAATACTTGTACTCCTATAGCTAACAAAATTGTTAGTTATAATACTGATGTAGAATAATGCTTTGACGAATTGTAATTTATAGTATTAGGATTCTTCACGTTCAACATTATGGTAGAAAGGAATGTAAGTGTTGGTTGTATTTTCTCATATTATCTTTGTCTGGAACATTTGAAGAAAAAATATTATGTTGACCAAAATGTCCCGAAAATCAAGCTGAAGAGTGGCAGCGTTGCATGCATTGAGACTTTCTGCCCCAGTTTGTTCTCTTTTGAGTGTTTTTATGCCATGTGATTTATTAGGCAGTGGTCTCGTTAACTTGCATTGGGGCACTAATTCCTCCTCAGCACGCTCTGCGGTACCTAGTGATAAACGTCAATTGATCTGTCAGAGTAGGAGTTCCCCTCCCACCGAAAGCGAATAAAATGGTACTTGAAGAAAGGCTGCCGCTTGAGCGCTCATCAGAAAGTGAATGGCGGTTGGCTTGGTCTTGCTCCTTTATTCCATTACTAGTGACCCAACCTATTCATTTTTGCTACCTGTGTGCAGTGTTGCTCATGTAGTTTAGAAGTCTCTCCATTCCTCCCTGACCTTGTGATAAAGTAGCAACGTGGAGATTAATCGCAGGAGACCGAAATCTATATTTGCTTTGAGAAGATACCTTGACTTGTGCGCCGTTCTGTTTGTGATCGTTTTTCTAACTTTATTTCCGGTTTCGCTTGCTCGCATACTGAGACGTTAAAGAAGCGCGAGTAGTGCTTGAGTTTTGTTGTTTGTCCGTACTGTTCCTAGGAGATACGATCATATTCATGTTTACTGTGATCAATAACACGCCCTTTATCTCTCGTACTACGTTATCTTCATAGGTACTTCTACCTGACGCGTAACTATACGTAACAGTCAGAAATTCTAGGTTTCGATCTTTCATTATGGATAATTGAATATTTGTAATAGAGCTTCAGTACGACTAGTGACGGTCCCAGAACTTTGTGGTCCGTATCGATTAAGGGTTGAAATCTTTTTGATTTATAGGTATTTGGGTTGCAATTTATAATATATGCTCAGTGGCAGCAATATAACAGAAAACTTCGGCAGGAGTTTGTTTAACCTCTTCCTTGACTGCCTTAGAGATCTTCAGGAAGGATAAGCAGACTTGCCTTTTCGGAATTTCACGAGTTTTGATTGTCAGCGGTTTCATCGGGGATTTCATGAATTGGGCGCAATTCAGAATATTCTAAAGGGCATTTTGAATACCAGGACAGATGAAATGTACAATGGTTCTGTTATGAAACAATTGAAGTAGTTTCCTTATAAATACTGCAACTCAGTTGCTACAACAGGATTTTGTGAAATGAATAAAACAAAGCAGTTCTAGATTGTTGATATTATTAGTTAAGCAGTTGATGGTAAAATTGATGAAATATGCTCGAAAGTGCATCACGGAAACGATCTCAAACAGAAAATAATGGGTTTCATTAAGGCACTGCAGGAGGAATCAGATTCATATCGACAGCCAGCGCAGCATTCGTGAACATAATGGTCTTCGTGAACATAATGGTCTTCGTGAACATAACTAGCCGTTGCCATTTCGTGCTAACAGGCGTGCGTAATTGCTCCCATCATAAATGTCGAAACACGTTTGTGCAATAACTCCACAGTGCATGGCTAATAAGTAATAAATGCACTTTTTATCACAATTGTTTATATTTCCTAGACTTTTTGACCTCCCTCTCATATTTTTACATGCCGAAAAAAATCCCTGTCACTTAGCCGTGAGTACGATTGTGTCATAAATGAATTTTATTCTCTAATATAAAAGATCGTTTAATTCACCCACATTTAGTTATTTAATCTATACCTACCTAAATTCATGTAGCTGCAGTTTTCTTCAATTGAACGTGAACATACATAATTGGGAATTAGGACTATAATAGTACCATAATTCTGGGCAGATCTAGACACCGTTTTACACCACGGTACTCTGAATTATCAGACTTACTTGCCGATTAAATCTCTACTGATTATTCACTTCTGTTATCTAGGCTAAAACAAATCTCTATTTACTTGGTATGCACTGGCCATTAAAAAACCTCACGTTTATAACCTGACCATTGGAAAAAGTCACTCTCATCAGTGCTAGTCAGGTGGTGGGTCTCCCTCTCTCCTCCTTTGAATGCTGTTATTCGCATCAGCGCACGATGCAGGTCACCGTAGCCTTCACGTTGCCAGGGCAGCTTTGAGGGCCCCATGGCGAGTGGGTGCACTGCATGATGTCAGTCTCGTTGCCCTGGCACTTCACCCCGCCCAACTTTATGGCGACATTGAGCTCATTGTTCATCGGCGTCTTCGGTGGCTTCACGGGCGATTTCGCTTGCGCTCGCATCAGTGGCTTCTCGTGGCGGCTGAGCCTGGGGAGGTGGTTTGATATAACATGCCGTGCGGTTGGACAATAAACCATTATGGAAACTTTTATAATTTGATGTATTTTTTGTCCTACTTGGAGCATTTTAAGGCTTTTTACAATGTTTCGTGCCCTCGAGCTGCTTTCAAGTATTATTAAGGGAGGTCTTAGTCGAAGCAGGGTATTGAACAGTCGTGTAGCGTTTTATGCTCCGAAATTTCGTTAGAATTTCTGGAGGTGGATTTGTGTTTTCATTTTGCACAAGTAAAGACCTCAAATCAACATTAAATTTATTTAACTAGTCTATATGCAATTATTAGCCACGTATCGAAGAAACGGGACCAGGTTAGCGAAAAAAATGTTAATGAAGAAGAGTATATGAAGCTTTCAAGTCTTTTTTATCGACGTCTGTGTCTCCTCTCCACCTTAAAGTGAAGTACGGGTATAGATGAATACTCATGGTTTGTACAATTTTTTTAGATGGATTACCAGAATTTGAAACAAGAACCAACACAACCGTGTAGGTTCTTGTTTAAAGCCTTGGCCAGGGGCCACAACCATAAACTAAAATATCTGAGTTGTAAGTAACACATCCACGCGACAACACTTCTTTTCGCTTCGAGTCACCGACATGTGGAACAGCCTCCCTGATTACATCGTTGACGCTCGGAGTATAAACGCGTTCAAGAATGAAGCTTTGGAGAAGTATGTGTTCAGAATTGATATTCCTAGCACCCTACGGGCCTCGCAGAAGTCTAGTAGCTATTTTAAATCAACGTCAGTTTGAAAAGATCTGGTCAAAGGGCAATCTTCAGATCTATGAACAAGTCACGAAATTACAAGAATCAGCGACAGGCCACACCACCACCAGGCCCACCCTTCAGCGCTTAAATAACTATGTTAGGTTATAGAGACAAATTAATAATAGAAAAAATATATATGCACAACACAATACTGGGAGCGCACCTGTTGGCGAGGACGTTGCAGACGACGAGTGCCTCAGTGCTGTTCCAGCTATCGGCGCAGATGCTGCCAAGGTCAAATGAGCCGTTGAGCTTCAGCCCCACAAGCACCTCACCCGTCACCTGCAGCGTGCCGTCTTGCAGCTCCATTTCCGATCGGTGATTCAGCTCGATGTGAGCTGAAATACACAAATATAGTTATATTTCTTTCGCAAATATACACTTTATAAAAATCGTTTTGTCTTCATTCAAGAAGAACGTGGTTATTCAGTGAACGTTGGTAAATAATTTGAAATAATGTATCGTATTTTTATAACAGATTAAAAAAATCTTTAAATTCAACTATTGGTGCAAAATAAGCAACCATTTATCATTAACAGCGTTTGATGAAGCATAATTTACTCACACAAGCGTGATGAGTTATTCGTGCTGTTATGCCAGCCTGCATCCCGGTCAAATGGGCGACCTGCATCTGAGCGATTACGGTTCCCTGCACCCAAGTTAATCTGGCGGTTTGCATCAGGGCGACCTGCATCTGAACGATTACGGTTCTCTGCACCCAAGTTAATCTGGCGGTTTGCATCAGGGCGATTATTGCCACTGCGCAAAGGAGCAAAGTTGAAATTGGACATTGGGCCTCCAGTTCGTGGACCATTGGAATTGAAAAATGACTGCAGGCTGTTTATATCGAATCCTCCACTTCCCCCAGCTGAGCCCCCGGTATTCGATGTTGCTTGAGGAGTCATATTGGGCGATATTTGTGACCCTACATTCCCAAAGATGCTACCTAAGTCTAATCCACCAGATGCTTGGTTTGCAAAAATATTCTTGAGGGCGTCTAGGTTCAGAGAACCATCTGGATTGCTGATCGAATTTGAGATGATGTTCTGAATGGTACTCAAGTCGATGGAGGAGCCAGGGAATATTATTGGACTACCTCCACTGTTGCTGGGACCTGGGAGATTGGGAAACATCATGCCAGATCCACCACTGTTGTCGTTATCGTCGTCGCCGTTTTGATCTCCGTCTCGACTTCCCCCCCTTCCGAAGAATCCTCCTCTACTTGGCCCCTCGCCCCCTCCTATCCCGCGGAATCCTCCTCCTGGTCGACCTCCCCCCATTCCGAAAATTTCATTTCCTACTCCCATATCCTCGTCACTTCCTCCCCTTCCATTCATTCCAAAGGGCTGTGGACCAAACATGACTGGAGGGAGGCGAACAGCGCTCTCCTTGCAGCTACAGACCGCCACTTTAGACCAGGTCATGGCGCCGGTTGCGAAGCAGCGCTCACCGCGAAGCACGTCCTGGTTCTCTGTGATGACAAGATGACAAATTTTTAATGTAATTCGGTACAACTTAAGATTTCATGCCGTATAAGTTTACTTTTTTTGATTCATAATTTATTGCTCATTATTTTGAACATTATAATTATTTCTAGAGACGAGATGTATTAAAGCCCACATATCAGCCTGCCATCACTCCTCTACTCCAGCCCTCTCCTCAGTTACCCCAGAACTCATCCCCCAAAAGCAGTAAACTAAACCTATGAATACACAGCAAAGTAAACTCACCGACTCGCCAGTAGATTGGAACAGATGAAGAACTACTCTCAGAGTTCCCGTCCTCCTGCATCATGTCGAAGGGCGACTCGAAGATTGTCGACACTTCTTGCTGAGTTATTTGGGCTGAGTTCATCGCCTGCGCCACGTCACCTGATAGCCTGCAGAACATCACTCAGAGTTTTGATTATCGGGCTAGCAGTGCGGTGCGTCTGGGAAAAATTTTGCAACCTCGTCGAATTTTCTAGGAACTGAAAGGAACTTTTTATGTAGACTTACGAGTAAAACAAACCCAATATACAAGAAAATGTTTCGTAGATACTATCATAAAATTGTCTAGTTCGTATTTATTCTCATGCCCGTGAGACTTGACTTCCTTCATATCGTCTAGCTTTTTATTAAAGTATCGATGTTCGTTATTAAGCACCTAATAATCTAATGCGATCGGGTTGAGTGATCGGAACAGACCTCATGCATCGCTCATCCAGAGTTGGCTCAGTTCCGAGCTTGCCGCTGAGGAGTGACCTCATCTTCGTCCGGTCGTTCTTCATCATCTCCATCATCTGCGTCGAACAAATTACGTACAAAATAATTGGGGTAGCCTATTGGTATGTGTGTTTCAAAATATACCATTTCATCAACTTCTACATGCGCTACCTTAAGACTTTTAGAGGATACTGTTAATAGAGGATTACCGTTTACATCCTAAATAAACTTATCCCTGGAAGACCATTCCTGATTTCCATCTTCTAAAAAACCAGAGCCTTATTTCAGTAGCCAAATCAGTAAGTGCTGCATAAAATTCCCACATTATTATATCTTATTTAGCATCTGTTCTGTATTTCGCGCATCCTGACGCAGTTTGAACTCACCCTGGATTTACAGTCGCGCATCCTGACGCTATTTGCACTCACCCTAGACTTGATGTCGTGCATTCTTGCCAGATAGGGCTTGGAGGCGTCCATGTACTGGAGGCTAAGATCTAGAAGCTCCAAACTCTCGGAGTCGCCTGCCAGAGCATTGCGTGCAAGCTGGCACGTTGTAAAGAATATGTTAACGGATGATTTAGGAAGGACAATTTTATAGAATAATATCGTCATTTAGTGAACTTTACTAAGGGCTCTCATAGCACGTCACATCCTGGAACGTCAAATGCCGACGTTTTCTAATCATATTTAAAAAACACGCAATGCAAATGCAATTGGAATAACAATTACTAGACTGCGTCCAAGAGAAACATAATATAGCAGAAAAATAACTTCTACCCTCGCAGGCTCCCTGACGCAGTAAGTTCAAATTAATTTTTTATAAAATTACGTCCTCTCAAAATGTACAGCCAGCTAAACCAAGCAAAAGATGTTTTAGTCTGTTAAAAAATCGTTGTAACTTGCCTGCGACGCATTATTCCTCCAATAATCGAAGATTTTTTGTAGTTTATCGACGCCCTTCAACTTTTTCGCATCCTTATAGACTCCAAACGTCCTGTAGAAACCGACAAAAAAAAATTATTTGTAAATTTTATAAAGTGCACGATTGTGAATTATTGGTTTATGTTTCATACATCAGCAATGGTCATTTTGGTCCACACTCCAAAAAGAACACTTTAAGAAAAGAAATTACCATAAAACATCTCATTAATATAAACATTCTATCGACACAACGATGCTTAGATTTAAATTGACTTCGGTGCTTACAGATTTGATAGCCTTGAGTTATTTTGCAGAGCCTTGAACCACGGCTTGTTGACTCGTGGGGGTCCTTGCATGAGCACCATCGTGATGGCACTCTTGAGACTCTGCCGCAATGTCACAGGGAGGAAGGTGAAGCCTTTCATATTATCTGGCTCCGAATTTACGAGCTGCATGAACATCATCGATATGACCTTCTTCATTTCGAGCATCTCCTTCATCTTGGCACTGCAGTGGAAGTTTCTGCCACCTCCACGACCACCTCCGTGTCTTCCGGGTCGAGGGAACATGCTGCTCTGTGATGACCGCTTCAGCTGCATAGTCCGACGAGTGCCATTCCTGAAAGTAAATACAATTTTGCCAAACTGCTATCAACATGTCCAATAAAACGAAAGAAAGAATCCTGCAGTGGTTTGAGATAAATTTTAGTAAATAGCAAATGTAACTAAACAAATAATAAGTGTCTATCCTGAATAATTTAAATTAAAGGTGAACACAGAAGTTTCGTCTCAGCTAGGGGAAGAACTCAAAAACAAGTTACAGGGAATGTTTTGGATATAATTGCAACTTAATATGGTATGATATTCGTACGGATCGCTCCTGGTTTGACGATTTCTTTGTCATTAAGTATGTCAACTGAGACCTGATTGACGCTCACCATTAAAGTGTATCGCCGTTGCTTGATCCCTTACCTCTTTTCATTTTGCTGGACACTGTTATGAATATTGTTGTTGAATCCTGGCATTGAAGCTACATTTGTTCTCATGATGTCTTGAAACAACGTCAGAAAATCGTCTTGAGCTGCGGCTGTTTCGTTGTCATCTCCCGCAGATCCAATTAGACGTGTCAGCGCATCTAAGATATCTTCACCGGAATCCAAGTCATCGTCATCGAATCGACCAGGAGATGATTTTCGGGATCCTCTTTCTCGTCGGTTGCCACTCGAAGAACGTTCATTCGACGAATCTGTATCGGTCCCGTTCCTTCTACGTCGATCGCCTGAACGATCTTTTGACAGTCGTGATCTATAAATAGAATTTCCGAAAGCCTGTATGGGAAAGACCAAAATAATCGAGATGTGGTTTGCGATATACCAGAAAATTTTGTTTAACATTATTTCCGAGAATTGATGGTTCAAGTATCGTGTCATTCTCCGTAGTAATAACTGTGTCAATCCGACCAGTCTAACTCTTTCAGAATGAATTGAACGCAATGCACAAACATGGCATAATAGCCAATAATACATACAGCATATACCTAACATGCAACGAAATACACTAAAGTTGAGTAACAAAACAACAGATTACAAATATGTGGAATAATATGTACCCGGTCATCGTTATCATTCTCCCAAGAATTTGTTTCCTCTACTGAGTTGTGGTCTTCCGTAGAGTTGCGGTCTTCCGTAGAGTTGTGGTCTTCCACAGAATTTACATCCTCGATGGAAGCGTCTCTTCTGAATCTTCTCGTACCTGAATTCAGTACAGAATCATGTTCGCTACCTTTATCGTTAATTTTGAGCTATTTCCATTCACTGCGCATACAATACAGAAATACTTTAATTTGTGTATATGTTCTCAGCTGAATATAGAATTTGTTGCTTACTGTGTTGCTTTTGCGAAATAGTGTTGCTTTTCTTACGAAAGCCTTGTAACTTGCTTGTTGAATTATCCTCACCGCAGTTACTTCACTACTTGTTCGATCTCAGAGATTCATTCTCATCCAAATGCGTGTTTAATTTCGCTCATTGTGATTTGAACTGCGACCGATAAAAGTGTATGTTTTTGGCTGATATAACTTGCCAAAAAGCACGTACTTCGCTGCTTTCACTTCACAACCAGTGTCGAGATGGGCAAATGGCATAATTCGGTTACAGAGTTTTCAAAAAATTATTCACTAAGAATGAATTTCATAAGTGAATATAATTTCACGTGAATTTCATAAGTCAAAGACTTAACGGCAAAATACGTACAATTTGCTTCATCCGATTTGTCCCGACAGTCGGTGAAGCCGTCGCACTTTATCTTGATCAAGTCTATTCGTGTTCCGTCCTTGCAGATGAAACTCCCGTCGGACTGCTCTCCCCAGCTCTGTGGGCCGATGCTGAGAAGGTACCAAACAGAATTAAATAATTAAAAGGTAAAGATTTATGTTGTTTGCCATTTATATTATTCGTGCAAATTATGAGTAGATAAATTGTTGTGTTTTCATGTAACAACAAGTTGAGTTTGTGGAACAAAAATAGTTGCCCAAGTAAAATTCTAGGGACCGTTACCTTGATGCTGAAAATACAGCATTGTTTCCGATGTTGTTGGTCACGCTGTTGGAGGTCATGGGCGGGAGACTCGTGCGCCTATCTCCGCTCTCGAAGGGGGTTGTGTTCTGAGGGGGCCGCGAATTGTCGAAATTCGGAGGTCGAGAGGATCCTGCCCCGTCCGTAGGTCTCACGTTCCCTCCTGAGCCCTCCGGACCTCGCCGAACAGCGCTCGTGCTCATTCCGCCTTGTGGACCTCCCATCCCTCCGAACATGCCACTCATTCCGCCTTGTGAGCCACCCATTCCTCCGAACATATCACCCATTCCACCCATTCCGCCTTGTGGACCACCCATTCCTCCGAACATGCCATTCATTCCGCCTTGTGAGCTACCCATTCCTCCGAACATGCCACTCATTCCGTCTTGTGAGCCACCCATTCCTCCGAACATATCACCCATTCCACCCATTCCGCTTTGTGGACCACCCATTCCTCCGAACATGCCACTCATTCCGCCTTGTGAACCTTTCATTCCGTCTTGAGGACCTCCCATTCCTCCAAACATGTTACCAATTCCACCATGAGGACCACCCATTCCTCCGAACGCACCACCCATTCCCCCCTTTGGTCCCTTACGCCCTCCATGCATGTGGTGCATGAGGTAGGACTTCATTTTGAAGGACAAGATCTGCATCACAAAGGCTCGGGATTTAGGGTCCCCCTCAAGGGCCGTCTTCAGCACTTCTTCTGCGGCAGCCGCAATGGCCATGCTGATGTTGTGCTGGGCTCCAGCCACGCTCCCCTGCGGAACTCATCAGTGATAGATCTCACATGCACGACGAGGAGCTGGGGAGTTTATTCTTCCATATCAATGGTCTATAATAGGGGGAATNGCCCCTACACTCACATGTTCGAACTGTCGCCGTAGTAGTATGGTATGGTGCCCCTACATTACATGTTCGAAATGTCGCCGAAGTAGTACGGGATGGTGCCCCCACACTCACATGTTCGAACTGTCGCCGTAGTAGTATGGTATGGTGCCCCTACACTTACATGTTCGAAATGTCGCCGAAGTAGAACGGGATGGTGCCCCCACACTCACATGTTCGAACTGTCGCCGTAGTAGTATGGTATGGTGCCCCTACACTTACATGTTCGAAATGTCGCCGAAGTAGAACGGGATGGTGCCCCCACACTCACATGTTCGAACTGTCGCCGTAGTAGTATGGTATGGTGCCCCTACACTTACATGTTCGAAATGTCGCCGAAGTAGAACGGGATGGTGCCCCCACACTCACATGTTCGAACTGTCGCCGTAGTAGTATGGTATGGTGCCCCTACACTTACATGTTCGAAATGTCGCCGAAGTAGAACGGGATGGAGCCCCTACACTCACATGTTCGAACTGTCGCCGTAGTAGTATGGTATGGTGCCCCTACACTTACATGTTCGAAATGTCGCCGAAGTAGTACGGGATGGTGCCCCCACACTCACATGTTCGAACTGTCGCCGTAGTAGTACGGGATGGTGCCTTCACCAGCGACAATCACTTTCACCTCAGGCGCGTCTAGAGGCATTCGCGGCTTCAGGTCTGATGCACCGGAGTTGACCAGCTTCAACACGACCTCTGAGAAGGAAAGCCGGGATCCCAATTTTGTTCCAAACAAAATATCAAATCTAGCTTGCCAGCAGCTTAAATATCAATTAAAGGTCTTAACATTCCACAGAAATCATTCCACAGTAAAAATTCATTTCTTAGTTTACTGCAAACAATTCTCTTCGCACATAAAATTTCAAGTAAAGCCTAAAGGTAACGCAACTAATTTCACAGTTCCTCATGCATTCTATTACTCACTAGTGTCGATAGTTTGGCCTGGTCGGATGACGATGCTGAGTGGGCCATTGCTGGGAAACTGCCACTGCAGGTCCACAGCTTTTAGATGAAACGAAACAAAATTCAATATGTATAAACCATCTTCTGTCAGGGTATCTTTTCTGGTGAGGCTTTAATGCTAACCCTTTGAATTCAAGAAATTTATCCATGTACAAGCTGCTGAGCAGCCAGTGTTAGGACAATTATGAATGTCGGACCGTGAGATTAATCACTTTCTAAAACCACGGAAGATGGCGCCATAAACTAAAACATATCTTAATTAAATTTGCATATTCATACCCGCAATTTGCCCGGATCAATACTGACCTTCATCCTTGCATGGTATTAATCCCGAAACGACCTCCTGGTCGAGGCTGGAGCCGTTGCTGAGGACCACCACGAGGTATGCAGTGCCGCACAACTGTCGCATCATCGCGGGAATTTGGTCAAACGTTATGTACTACATCGCATTTGCATCGTATAATCCAGTATTGGAAGTAATCAGGAAAACACTTATTCAATAAAATTACTATTATTAAAGACGGCTAATTAATGTTGATAATTAGTTTCAGTCAGTATTCCATATATTTTCAGCACAATATTTAATGATTAGTGTCAGAGACCAACTCACCGTAGAGGCGGGCAAGGCTCCCGTCAACGGAAATTCTTTAACTTGTCCAGCGCTCGGCAAATCTATTAAAGAAAGAATTTTGAACTTAATATGATTCTTAATGCCTCACTTCAGGTGCTTATTTTCCCGAAAAAATATCAGTTTATGTCTGTAATTCGACTGTACTCTTATCTATCCTCGATGCTTAACCTTTGCTCTGAACATATCACAAATTTAATTCTAAAGCCTCCGAACAGCCTCCCGTTTGAGGTGAGAATTATTTCTTCAATTATTTGGTAATATATTTTTTTCTCCTTTACTGGGTATTTCTATTGCTTCTACTGCAGAAATTTATGATTTATCAATCATTATTACATAATATATATGTTATCTCTAAAATCCAATTATTTCTGTCTTTCAATCATTACTAAGTTTTCAGCTAGCTCTATTTTTAATAGACGACCAATAATAGGACCCTCATATATAATATGTCATTATAGTCCCACCGGTCGCTGCAAGAGTGACGGTGGCGAGGGCACTGGCGCTAGTCTCCGAGGGCAGCACGAAGGGCGTTAGGGGCTTGAAGACCTTGAGGGTGTAGGACCCTGTGGTGACGTTGGTCGTGCCCTGCAGCTGAGCCTTTAGGGAGCCTCCGCACGCCGTCGCCAGGTCTGTGGCCGTGAAGTTCACGACTCCAGACGCGCAGACGACATCGCTGAGGAGAGGGCAGTGTTCGGGTGAACGATAACATTGTGTAACCTAATTAACATTTCTTAGCATGCATAGTTTGTTAAAAATACAACAGAAATTGCTGGATCATAGAGAGAAAAATAAATGTCTTCGTTTATCTTTGTTATGCTGATAGCATTAAATGGAATAATTATTTGGGCAGTTGGGACAATAGCTGAAGAGCTTGTATTGTACTAAAATTTTGACGTTGATTCAATATTCCCAATAGTAGTAAAATTGGATAATCATTAAATGCTATTAATTGTATTAAATATTATAGTACATTGGTAGGTGTAAGATTACAAATTATATTAATTATGCTCACATGAGCTTGACTTGCGCCGAGGCTGTGGCTACCCACGCGACGACCAGCAGACACAGGATCGCTGCCCTGCCTGCAGGAGCACTCATGCCAGCTGCCTGCTGTATACACAATATTTATTGTTGAAACTTTGTTTATTGTGTTTATTGTTCATCATAATGGTAAATAAAAAGATATTGCGACGAAAATATCTTATTTTACAATTAATTCATTTATCATAATTCATTTTCTTCCATTTTTATAAATGTTTACGTCTCTATTCATTTAGGTATAAAAAGATCGCAACTAGGATCCTGCATAAATAATGCTGATTAGAAGCAACTGTCATGTGAAAACACACATTTCATGATTTTGAATTATTTTCCGTCAGTTAACTTATAACAAACTAAGTCTAAATCTTCCATAAGAATATTTAAGCCTTTCAGCTGCTGGGATCCCAAGACGCAGGAATCGAAGCAAGCTTAATCAATTCGATATCAAACAAACAAACAAACGCCTTCGTTCGGACACGTTCTCCAGCCTGGTCGATGATCATCGACTTCATGCCTACAAACATTCTGGCACATCGTCACAACAAACACAAGCGCAACTGAATTTTTCACGAGGTTTATTTACATGTTTGTGACGTTAATTAATCATGGTCTTTATTTCATAACAATTATTCAAGGATTAATATGAAATGCGTTGTAAAATCAGACACTTGAACAGTGTACACTACAACATCGATCCATTTGTGTCTTGGAAACCATGACTCTGTTTTAATCTTATCGCCCAACCTTGCAGATAGATTTCCTGGAAAAATTGCTACGTGTTGTGCATTCTTTTGGAAATCGTTAGCAAACAATTGGCGTTGCCAAGCACCGATGATTCCGACATCAATTTACTGATCGAAGTTTCGACGTCATCAGGAGACAAAGAAATAATTTATTCAAGATCTCACACGCTCTTAACGACCTCTTGTTAAAGCTTGACAATTACTGCCCGAAGTGCGAGGTGAACAGCTTCAACTAAAGCAGTCTTAGGCTTTACTTGTTCTGTTATACATCTCAATGTCAAAGCCGTTCATCAGTTCGTGGCACAGGTCGATGAATCGACACTTTCTTTCTGGTCCCTAAATGCCCGCGCTGGATGCCGGCAAACACGAAGAAAAAGTCAGGGAATTCAGCCTCTAATTCTTGTGGCACTTAATTACAGCGATGGTCTTCCAGACGTCATCATATGCGACAAAATATATTAAACTCGTCTTAAATTCTAACCGATTAATGCATTTCAATCGGATGTTCCAAATTACATTAAACTATCACTCTTGGATTTTATTAAATGAAGAATAATGAATAATACAACTCATCTTAAATTTAAAACCGATAATCGCATTTCAAGGTCATGTTTCAAACTAATTTTCATAAACTGCATCTATAATTAAGGTGGTGTTCAGAAACTACTTTATCAGAATAGGCTTAATCAGAATTATTCACGTTCAAGTTAAGTATTTATTGTGTTGCCCAAGTGCGAGGTTCACTATTAACGGCCAGCCTACGAAGGCGACGTACGTGTTTCTCCTTGCGTTCCTCGTCGCCCCTGGTGACGTGCAACTAACACTCAGCGACGTCAAGGAGACGAGCGTCTTTGTTCTTAGAACTGCCCCACCTGGAGCCTCGTCTCTACACTCAAAGAAATGCATTACACTTTGTCCGAATAACTATTTGTTATTTACCCTTACATTGGTCAAATTGTTCTTTTTTTGCTTGGGAAATGGGCGTATCATGCAGGGCTACGACCGCTTTCTGCTAATGATATGGATATAAAAATGTCACTTTTTAGATAATATGACCCATTTGTTTTTTTAATGTGTATGGAATCAAGCGCAGTGTAGGGCTGCAGATATTATTTGTATGCAGAAATTACTTTAAATTCATTTTAGCCCTTAAGATCTTAATTTAACGATCATTCAAGATCCTATCTTCGATGAACAGAACTTGATACTGGAAGGCGACGTGAACCTCAGTGAGAAGTTTCTGGCATTGACCTTTACGTGTGGCAGTACAAATGGTGATGCCAGCTACATGCGATGTTCTGCACTGAACGCGATGTTCTGCTCTGAACGCGATGTTCTGCACTAAACGCGATGTTCTGCACTGAACGCGATGTTCTCTGCACTGAACGCGATGTTCTGCTCTGAACGCGATGTTCTGCACTAAACGCGATGTTCTGCACTGAACGCGATGTTCTGCTCTGAACGCGATGTTTTGCACTGAACGCGATGTTTTGCACTGAACGCGATGTTTTGCACTGAACGCGATGTTTTGCACTGAACGCGATGTTTTGCACTGAACGCGATGTTCTGCACTGAACGCGATGTTCTGCACTGAACGTGATGTTTTGCTCTGAACGCGATGTTCTGCACCGAACGCGATGTTCTGCACTGAACGCGATGTTTTGCTCTGAACGCGATGTTCTGCACTGAACGCGATGTTCTGCACTGAACGCGATGTTTCGCACTGAACGCGATGTTTCGCACTGAACGCGATGTTTTGCCCTGAACGCGACGCAAGGTTACTGTACGCGATGTTTTGCTACTGTTCACGATGCTTTGCTACTGAATGCGATGTTCTGCACTGAATGCGACGCTTGGTTGCTGAACGTGATGTTTTATTAACACATTAACGTGATGTTTTTTTGATGTAAACAAACGGGATGTTGTGCAACTGAACGCGAGGTTTTGCTACTGAAATTAACGTTGAGCTGCTGAACGCGATGTCCAGGTACTGAACACGTATTTTGCTACTGCAACTAGCACGAAAAGTGCAGCTCTGAACAAAGACCCAAAGGGCACTATGCCGCAAACGAGCAAGCATTATTATTGTCTACCATTTCTTCAGATTTTCTCATGGAACGAAGAACTTAGGCTCATTGAAACTACCGAAAACTTTCAATTAAATTCAGGAAAAGTTTCAGAAAGGAAAATGAAATCGAATTTAATTAAATCCAAATGCATTCATCTCCTTTGCAATTTAAAACAAAATATGACCTACAATGGTTACAACATTTGGGGCGTTAATCGAATGCAGAGTGAATCTACGGATGTAGAGCGAAGTATTTGACTACTTCTTAAATCCTCGTCCTGGTATTAAATACCAGGAATCATAGTCCTGGAATTTAGTAAATACTTCTTAAATCCTAGTCCTTGTATTAAAATTATTCAATGCACATTATAATGAATATTAGTGGAGGTTTGGATGTTTGTTTGGCTCAGCTAAACAAACGCGTATCCGCATAACCTGATTTTGTCGAGTTCCTGAATCTAGTCAATAGTTATTTTTTAATAACTATTGTTATTAAATTGTTGTTATTTATTAATAAAAATTGTTATTATTTTTTGAGTGAAGAAATTTCGAGTTATAACGAAACAGGAGGAAGAAAAGTTAAAATACAAAATTCAATTTTTTTCCTATTGAATTAATAGATTTTACCTATGTTATGAAACAAAAAATTTGAATTTCCTTCAATCTCCGGAAAGGTTGTTAACTGTAGCTTTACGTTAAATATTTTTTAACTATTTCCTCCTTCTAACTATCATGGCTTACATCTGAACATTAGGAAATTTAGGAAATTTGATGTAACAGTTTATAAAATATCAGAAATTATCTATCATGTGCAACGGCAGATTAATCAACAAATTATAATTATCATCTCCATTAACCAACCTTATTTAGTAAAGCAAGGAGAAAACGAATTAGTGTACCTGTTTGCCACTCTCATAGCATTTTTGGAAATTTCCAACTTCTGTCTGCAGGCATAGTTAATGACTAACAATAGTTTTCGGAAAATGAATTAGAAAAATCAATTCTAGTAAATTAGTTGACATTTATTATAATATCGTATATTGAGCATAAATCAAACTTACCTTTACAACCTCCTCGACTAACGGCAGTTTCAAAATATCCCTAGAAAATTAAAAAAATATATTTTTTGAGTTTTCTACCGAACAAGTGTTTTACCGTTATACTTTATTTTATTAATTTGTACTAAAAAATTAAAAATGCGTTTTTTATTATTTTTAGGGTACAATTGCGTTCGATCGACCAGCCTAGAATGAAGAACAACACAGCGTGACGATCGGCCTGGCAATGACCGTGAGGTCGCTCCCGCTGCACTTAAGTAGACATACCGACGGCCGTATCCATGATACAAGACCGAGTGTTTATATCAACGTCGCTTCTAGAATGTGCACAAAAAATATCTGTTGGAATTCAATGTATCCACAATATCGATTAATGAGATGCACAACGTAGCATAATTTTAACATTTAATATCAGTAAAATTAACATTATTGAGAAAATGCACTCGGTAATGCCATATCATGCTCGTTTATACATTTAAATTTTTCATATAGAAATCTAGCTCGGAATACTCATGTGTCCATCAAACTAATTCCAAATTAGTTACCAAGATTTGCGAGATAACGACCATTTCCACAAAAAGTGTCCCAATGCTAAATTACCTTTAAAATTCAGACTATTTTGGAACTTGGCATAACGTTTCTTTTGAAGCAGTTATTATATTCCTGTGGTAACTGTCACTCATGGAGATATTTTACTTGTTTGTACGAATAAAATGCAAACTATGAACCCATCTAAGAACAATTCATGAGTCAAGCACCAGTGATCACTCAAAAAATTCGGAGGCCTAAGCAGGGCAGCGGCTCAGCTCGATTCTGGGAGCTCTTGTGATTGTCAAGAACAAAGGAAATTCCAGCAGCGATTGCCTATTACCTTTTGCTGGATTTATTCGCGATACTTTAACAAATAAAATTTTGGGAAATTCTTTATGCATTGATGTGTTATTGTTCTTTTTAATGCATGACGGAGTAAGGCGACTTTCTTAGTATATTTCTTATTTAAATCTCTCCACCAAGCGAATATTCTAGATCTTAATTTCATAGCGTGTATTAAGAGAGTGATTTCAAGTTTAATTAAAGAAGTATTTTTCATCGATCGTTCGTTTGAATCATTTAGTCGCGATTTATTAGTAACTCCATGAAAGAGCAATTGATACGAAGATTGTCTTAAAGTAGAGCAATTGATACGAAGATTGTCTTAGATAATTTTATAAGTCATTAACTAACAAGACTCTTTCTTTCAAGAAAAAACTTGTCTGGATTTGTCTTGACCGGTGTCTTTCAGAAAATCCTCGATCCACTTTCAAAAATTTTTATCTCAGAAAATGCTTGATTAATGTTTAATTCTTCATTTAATATTTTAATCGGTTCATTTGGCGTTAAGTTACATGTACCGGGGCAGTGGCTGTAGAGGGAGGTCGAGGTGCGAACTTCGAGCTAACTTTTCCTGGTGACTCATATCTCTCAAGCACTCATATGAGGCACATGCACTCATATGAGGCGATGAATTCACAGGAGGCCATGCACTCATATGAGGCAACGTACTCATATGAGGCCAGTCACTCATAAGATGCCCAGCAGTCCAGATACACAAATATGTATCAAATATACGCCATTTGTGAAAATTGCACATATTATTAACTAATCAAATGAACGACGACATTCATTTATTTGATCGTTAAAACTTTATTTTCCTATCGACAGATTGCGCCCGAAAAGATGACTACGAGCCCTAAGTAAAAAAGCTATTTTGCCTTTCAATTGAAGCTATTATACACTGTTATTCAATTAGATGTTATGTTAACACATCTAATATAGCAAGAAAAGTAACTATACTTTTGACTTTCTGGTTTAGCTATTAAACATTGTTATTGAATAAAAGGATATGTTAACGTATCTAATATTACAAGGGCAGCAATATACCGGGTAGAGCGTATTGATGAGTACAGCTCCAGCGGGCGTGGAGAGGCAGGGTCGCTAGCGCTGCCAAGGCCGTCAACAGAGCGCCTGTGTTTACTGGTCACCATAGCGGCAAGAGTAACATAAGTAACAGCAATAAGGCAGTAACATAAGTAACTGCTCTAAGGCAGTAACATAAGTAACTGCTCTAAGGCAGTAACATAAGTGGCAGCAATAAGGTAGTAACATAAGTAACAGCACTAAAACAGTAACATAAGTAACAGCACTAAGGCAGTAACATAAGTAATAACTCTAAAATCCACACCTGCAATAATGTGAGAAATATCCTATCATTAATTTGGGCAAAACAAGACTTGTCTGAGTAAAGCTATATAGTCAACATTTCCACCATTCAAGGCTTTTCCGAGTTGATAACACTTTCTGAACTCCCAAAACTTATTCCGATAATCCAAAACAAAAGTTAGTACTTAATTTATCTGTACATAAAGTTGTTGGAAAAAGTTTCGTGGGAACGACATCTCTGCATGACGACTAGCAATCATGCTTTCTAATTACTCACACAGCTAGGTTCTTTCTACTTCGAAATCCTCGTATAAAATTCCAAGTGTTTTTTACGATTTTCTAAAGCTCAACAGATAATTGTCATTCTATTCGATAGCTTAAAAATCCAAGTCATACATTGGTATGCTGGCTATCAAGTATTGAAACTTCATGAAACTTCATGAAATAGCTACGTCGACTGACAGATTCATGATAAAATTATGCTAGGGCTACGTCTACTGACTAATCCAAGAAAAATTTGGATAATGGCCATGTCGATTTACTAATTCATCGAAAAATTATATAATGGCCATGTCGACTTACTATAGTGCATCGAAAAATTGTGTAAGGGCCATGTCGACTTACTAATTCAGCGAAAAATTGTCTAATGGTCATGTCGACTTACTAATTTATTGAAAAATTGTGTAATGATTATGTCGACTTATTAATTCATCGAAAAATTGTGTAATGGCCATGCCGACTGACTAATTTATGAAGAATACTTCAAGTCAACTTACTGCAAAAAGGAACTTGATAGGCGGTGTAGACGCGGTAATTCTTTTCAAAGACCTGAACGGTCGATGTAAAATGTGTAAAAATATCAAGTATTAAGCCGTTGACGACTTAGTCTCTGTTTATTTCATACGATCTCAAATACAAAGACAAACGAAAATCAAACAAAGGCATGACATCGACATAGCACAGTATATATTGCAGCGTCTATACAGTATATTGCAATCAATGCAATGAATCAATGCGGAAGACATAAACTAATGCATGGAGGCCACCTAATCTGATTGATGTGGTCGCATGACAGCTGTTGATGATTGGGTGACAGCTGTTGATGATTGGGTGACAGCTGTTGATGATTGGGTGACAGCTGTTGATGATTGTGTGACAGCTTTTGATGATTGGGCGACAGCTGTTGATGATTGGGTGACAGCTGTTGATGATTGGGTGACAGCTTTTGATGATTTAGTGGCAGCTGTTGATGATTGGGTGACAGCTGTTGATGATTGGATGACAGCTTTTGATGATTGGGTGGCAGCTGTTGATGATTGGGTGACAGCTGTTGATGATTGGGTGCATGACAGCTGTTGATGATTGGTGGCAGTTGTGATGAAATTTATCACTGATATTGGAAAAAAGACTCCGATGCATTCGGAGCTCGTGATTCTACTATAAATTGCTATTTATCACTTGCTTTCAGTATCAAGAATTGTAAATTTAAACTTTCTTGGTAAATTACTAAAAAAAATCACAAATTATGATTTTTAGATCCAAGCATGGGGACTTCACCTTTCAAAATCGCGGGGGACTTCACCTTTCAAATTCATACACCTTTCGCTCGTGAAGGCCAACAAAGAAAGAGGTCAGGAAAGTTAATTGAATATTCAAGTGTTAATTGCTCCGCAGTCCCGGTAGTGCGAGAAGCCATGACTACCATAGAGTACACAAGTGCTCAAGCCTGTGCAGTGCATTCATTTCACATAATTACATGCTTAAATATTTCTTCAGAAATTACAGTTGGTTCGATTCTCTAGAACTTACCAAGTATTGTTCTGCAGAACCTTGAGCAGCAATATGTCTAATGCAAATCGGATTGATTAAAGTCGGCGTTCTGAAAACTTGTGATAATAACTTTAAATTCTGTGCTTCAATTTTTGTTATCGTTCATATTCATTTACAAAAACGAATGTCAGAATATTCATACACTTTTATATATACCAGGCCAAGGTTACAGAGTACATATAAACAGAAGTATTGCAGATATTACATAACAGAATAACAGAATTACATATAAAATAATAATTATTATTTATTATTTAAAGTCGCCAAATATATATACAAAACTTTATAGATGAAGAAATTCATAATTATTCAAGTATCAAACATCGATGTTTCACTTGTTTTCGATTAATTAATCGTTCGCTGTACACAAAACCCCATTGAACTAACAGTTTTTGAATTATAGTTTTGGCTTCAAATTTAAGATCCCAGAAGTGTTTCCACAATCACGATTAAATTGAGCTCATTTCGTTGTTAAAACGATCCACAAGAATCTTTAGTTAAACTATATACTTCATAAACACTGTGGGCTAATCTAGTTTCCATTGGCCAAATTACTTATATCAAGCCCAGGATTTCGATGACGAATAGAGAGCGCGATCATTATATCGCAGATATTTTTTTTCAAATGGCTTGCATAGGAATCAATTTTATTACAGTTCACATGAAGCCCATATTAAGATTCCTCTCTAAGAGCAGGGTTGGCGTTGAGTTCAACGATCGCAACTCTAACGGAGGAGTTCTTGACGAGCGCGAAGACGTAGATGAAGCGTTCAGAGAAGAGGGTGGCGACTCTAGTGAGGGGGAGGTCGGCGAGCCTGAGGTCCAGCAGCGGCACGTCGAGCGCCGGCAGGACGGCGGTGCCTCCATCCTGCTGGTGTGGGGCATGGCACTGGTATCGGTACACCAGCACATGACCTGCGGAGGAAATTATAAGAGTAATAAGTAAAAGTAAAGCTTCAGTTCATTCTTGAAAGAAAAGTATCATTGATACAAATAACAATTTTATTTTTCCGATATGATTAAAAAATATATTTTAAAGGCCTCTCATTTGGCGAAATTTAATGCCTTGGCCCAACTATTGTACCTATTATTAAACAGCTAGAGAAACTAAACTCAAAAAAAGTGCTACATAAAAATGACATTATTAATGACCAAAAGCTTCTGAAGCAGAATGGTAGAGATACTAAATTACTCATCTCACCCTCTACCGTGGCAGCAAAGAGTAGCCCTCGTTGGTAGTGCACAGCGAGCACTTCTACGCCGCCGCCCAACGAAGCTTTGTGCAGCACCACCTGTGAAGTGATTCGAATGAAGCTGTCAACAACCTGGCAGTGCCTCAAATTTGAATATCTACTCAACGTAAAGGAAATTTTCAAATAATTGAAAACAACTTCATTTTGGCTTCTCTTCTCAAGTTTTTGGGCTCACAAGATTTTATTATTTAATAAAAATTCATTAAAATTTATCGCCCATGTATCAATTCAAATGTGCCAGCTTGTTATCATGAACGGAGCTCCCGAGCAATACGGATGAGTGCGTTTGGTCGTCTGGTAACGAGCTGCTGCTGCCACGGTGTAGCGAGTCAATGGCGGTCTTCGGAGGAAGAACTGCAGTCAGCCAGTAGTCGATGTTCCTGTCCATATGCCAATAATCTGCAATACATAAATCCATAATTTACGATGAAAAACTAAACATAAAGGAAAACAACTGTTTCTAATAAGAAATTTGCTGCTGCAATGTAAGGACTATACAAGTCAGTACAGGGAAATTGTTACAAATGAACAACTAAAGCAAAATTTAACTTGCTTATGTAGATGAGATATAAATATCTCTAAATTTTCATCTTGTAACGTAAAGTTTCATGTCAACTAAACCCACCAATCACAAAGAATGGGAAGCAACGTGTACTTGAGAGATTTTTGATGGTGCAGTCCTGCTCGCTCTCCAAATGGTATTTAGATTCAAGAAAGTCCCATAGAGTTGGATCAGAATTCAGCTTCCGGCCATTATGATCTGTTAGCTTCATTCATACCCATAACGATTTCATCAGTGTAAATTTTTGCTTAATGTTGTTAAAATATAAAAATGTCTTCATTTAATAATGATCTTGACTAACTTTTAGTGTCAAGATGTCGTGTCAGTGAAAGCCAACAATGCTTTCTGCCGCGGCAGGATCACTCTTCTCCTGCTCATATTCTAATAACGTTCTCTGCCTCGGCAGGATCTCTCAAGTACACGTAGCTTCCCATTCTTTGTGATTGGTTGGTTTAGTTAACAAATAATAAACTGGAAGCCGCATAGTTTATTATATCAGCATTTAATGAAAAGATATTCTAAATAAAACAATAAAATTGGTGTTAAGATATTCACACAAAAGTCTGGATGTGACGGCCGAGGAGACGAAGAGGTGATGTTGGCAGAAGAAGGTGGGGTTGGGATATGCGAGGTCTCGATACTCGCACGAGTTGCCGACACATATCGCGTTCAGCACTGCTTCTGCTTATAATGAACAATTCACTAAAAAGGAAAATTCAAGCACCTGAAAGCACGAAAACCGGTATTTTCCGGCACCGGTATAAAAATTCAGGCACAGATTCCTAGCAAAACATGTTAATTCCGATGCAAGTTAGTGCGCGAAACAACGCTTTTAAACTTCGATGGATTTTAATTTACAATGTAATGATTTTTTAACTAATAATTTCTTTACCAGAAATTATGATTTCAGTGAACGAATTTGAAGTATGTAATTTGTAAATTAAATGAGGCCATAAAACTGAAACTGGTACTTTCAGTCAAATTTGTTTTATTTCTATGAGATACTGCACGAAAATACCTTGAACTCCATGAGGCTGAGCTGGGCCATCAGATGTCAAAGGTGTTCCATTTGTGGATATTAAATGCGCGGCAGAAACTTCCAGCAGACGACACTTGCTTTCTCTGAGCTCGTGTACAGTCACTACCCCGTTCTTGAGAATAGTTTTAAGCTGCTCAAAAATAACACAAATGATTCAACTTGATAGAACGTATAGTTTTCTATCGCTTCTATCAAAGGAATTACAATGACACACAATCACACCTTATATGTAAGTTGCACATTTTTACGTGGCTCTTCCGGTTAGTACTGTACTTCCTTTGTAATACTCGTATAGAGAAATGCAGGTGGCACGTCATCAGATGATTTAGACAATGAGATATTAGACAAACTTATTAGATTTAATTTGCTTACATTCCTTAATATTCAGGGCCATGATTCAACGTGCAGAAGGAACAGAAAAAGGTGAAAACTGAGTCGACTTTGAAGGTCACGCCACTAGGCCTAAGAATTCTTAGGCCTATTGATGCACATAACTAACATTCTAATTTTGATGCGATATATTTACTCTTAGATAACTCATTTTAGCTTCATTCCGTTAATCATTATGAACCATGATTTTTTTGGTCCCTGGCAAAGGACTGTCGAACAATGGCTGAAGTGACGCTACCCTGCTTGCCAATGCTTGCGTAAAATTTCAAACCTTTTCGCTGATGATTGGGAAAAAATAATTACTATCATATGTTGGATGCAATTATAGAAATACCATTAAACACTCGTATATATATACGTAAATAGCTTGAAAACGTGTGCCTGAAGGTTAAGGTAACCGAAATAATTAAAATTAACGACTCAGAGATGCATCAACTCAAAGTATGAAACCTAACGAAAGAAACGAGAACAAACAAAATACGAAGAATTATGTTGAACCTGACAAAAACAGCCAATTCATTTAGCCTCTCTCACATTTGAGAGTTTTGATATATCTTAACTTAAATATTCTATTCTGCATGCTGACGAGAAATGTACCTAACCGTTTATAATTTCGCTTGAGGTCTACAACAACACCGTCTCTAACCAGTTCCAACCAGATTTTACAGGAAAAGCGATGGCTGACAGTACTAGATTACTTCCAGTCGATATTCTGTCGATTGTACACCTCGATTCAAATATTCTGCCAGTAGAATAATGCTACTTGAAATTGACTGACCTTTTTTAACTAAAATGAAGAAAGTGGCAACTTATTCTGTGAAAGTTTTAAAAGAGTTATGTAGTTCTTTCCTAACTGTAGAGTGTAGAGGGAGCTGCTCTCCATTGTCACTTATTTGTTAATAGATTAAGATTATTAGCATGGAAAGGGCAGTTTATCAATGTTATGAAGGATTGAATTCAATTCCAAAACTTATAGAAGAAATAATTATTTCGAATCATTCATAGCTGATTCATAACGAATCCCATAAGTCGCATAAATATTTTGTTGATATTTCCCCCTAAATGTGAACCGAGCATAACATTGTTATTATACATGATTCTTGGAAAATAATCAAAATAACAATATTACTTTGTACAGCGACTCCGCGCAATTAGGTTAATGCTGCTGGAACGAAATACGAGTACTATCTCTGCCACATAATTTCCATGTCAGTAAATACTTATTCAAATGTTACCCTTCAGGTTTAGGGGAACTGCCGTTTCTACAGCATAACAAACATTTAACGGGCTTCCAACACAACAAAAGACAGCAACTTTTGGGACATAAGAAACAAATAACAAGAATTAATTTATAATGTTTACGTAGTCGATGAATATCAGTTCCAATTGAACAGTGCGCAAAGGGAAAATAAATCCTCTTTTCGTTAACCGATGCAAAATTTTGAACTATTTCAGTTGCTATAATAAAACTAATCTCTAATTACTATAGAAATCAGTCAATGACTCCATTAGCCTTCCTTTGTTCATTTATCTCGATATACTCGTCAACCATCTGAAAATAAATGAAGAAAATCAACGACCAAGCTCTCTTTTTCTCTCATATGTGGACACGTTCCCGCGCTTTTACAAGAAAAAAAAAAAAACTAACATCTGCCCCATGTGCGTGACGAGGAGGGAGATGAGAGTCGGGGGTGATTTGGGGGTTGCGGGTCGTAGTAGGAATGGCAAGCGCGGGAAAACTGCCAGCAGGAAGGTAGTAAATAGCATGGGTACCACGCCTCTGAACAGAGTTTCCTATTTTCAGGAAGATCCTGAAACAAAATGGGATACAAAAGCCAATTTGTTGCGATAGTTTTATAACTAATAACTGATGTAGTTTTCTTATTTTCAGACATTAATAATTAATTATTATGTTAGCGTAATAATACGTCATCATTATTTTACGTTCAACTGAGGTTTACCAACGAATGAGAAAACTAGTATAGATGGTTGAAAATAACTATGATAATAACAAGAGATTTAGTCAAATGAGATTTCTCTAAAAGAATATAGCAGAACGATAATATTTTATGCACACGAATGTTTCTTTCAAATAAATCAAACCCTACACTAACCCTAAATTTTTTATTCCATGCATGAGGGTAAATTTCAAATTGAATATACACTGAAATGATATAAGTGGAAAAAATGTGTGCAGAATCTACTGTTCACAGTTGTACAATTCTAGCTTCGCGACTGAATGGAACTGTGGTATATTTGAAAATTAATGGACAAAAACAGGATGCAAAGTCAATTGAAAAGTATACAAATAACAAAACTTTCGAGGAAAAACTTAAAGGACAGAATTAATACGGAAATTTCCGTGAAGCATATTAACAAATAGAGCTGATACGAAATACGAGTATTCGTCGTCGCGCATCTGGCACGCATATAGTCTCACCGATTTGAATTCAAAAAACCTTTGCCGTTGCAGTGTATGAAATTTATGCTGAATATCAACAACATACAAAAACTTTTTCGTATTAGCTGATCATGAGTATCAGAAAGAAAAACTTTTAACAATAGCTTTTTTAGTAAGTGCTTGAGTTATCTAGAATTTCAATTGAGTTAATGAAAGCAACTGGTGAATAATTTCTGAATTATTAATTTGCATCTCGGAATAGTGGCAGAGGACACAACGTTTCAAATATTTTAACAAGTAGTAACGATTATAGTTGTACACAAGAGAAACAAACGGTGAGAAGCTCAATAGGAGAAGAGAAGAAGTTACCATTTCGATAGTGAGTCACGTAATCATTGAATGAAAAAATTTCATGTAATAGGCAGTCAATGGATAGTTCTTGGCATGGAATAAACCAGTCATTGCAATTCGAAATTTCAATCGACATGCATGTTACAATAACAGCGTTTATTTTTCATTCTAAACAACTGAACAAGTGTAGAAATAATTGGAGAAAAGCCTCAAGGAGTGAGCAAATTTCATTATTTCACTCACATTCTCACTACTTGCGATATAATTCATCATTTCTTTACGATTCCTGTTCGTAATAAATAATTAAATCTGTCTAGTAGAATGTTTGTAAGACATCTATTCAGAAGAATATCATCATCCTCCCAGAATAGAAATACTCATGGTACAAATGATTTACAAATCACAAAGTGTGTACCACGTCTGGAAGTGATTCTCGATCGAACACATAACTTCAAGTCGGCGGGAATATGCTCCACTTTTTAGCGCATTTTCTCATTTATGGAAAAAAAATGCACTATTGTGCTCGCCATGTCCGTCCGTCCGTCTGTCAGTCCGTCTGTCCGTGACCTCAAGTTTTCGTCGACGAGAAAATGCGCTCTCTGTCACTCACTGCAGTGAGTATTGAGTTATATTTTTTTAATTACTAAGCCGCATTGAACTCTATGATATGATAGGGATTAAGATTTCAAAAACTATATTTAAAGCTATACACTCCTCCACGGGGTGGAAAAACATTAAATTTTGATAGTCACAAAATGTTCTGTGAGCTTCTCTAGTCAAAATTGTTCATTGAACTCTCATTTTACAACTGCGATGAATCGTAAGTTCGTAAGGGCATCGTAATCGGTATTTAGAACTAAAACGTTCGTTAGTACGAATCTGAACAATTTGTTTCTCATTGGTGATGAACGGTTTCCAATAAGTAATGCATTCGAATAATAATACAAATAACCAACCTCTGTCCTACTGAAGTTGTACTCAGCGGAGCATTATTTGTAAATAAATAATATTAATAAATTATAGAAATAATAAAGCTACTTCGCATAATATAACTAGTAATCAAAACAGCCAGTTTGTTCAAACCGTCTCGTGTAGTCATCAGAAACATTAATTATTTGTCTTTTCTTGCCAAGACAAACCAATTAAAAATAATTTAGAAGAAAAAATTCTTTCCAGATTTCTGTATTTTTCTTTTGCTGTTCATCTTTATAAATCAACTTCATATCAAATAAGATATCACAACAAAAAACAAATTCAGATTCTCTGCCGTAACAGCAGGAGCATTTCAGCTTCTAGATCTGCGGGTCATTCAAATGACATTTTATCACGAATAACTGAATTAATAATTCGAACAACTGAGTTATTATGTTTAAATTTCTAGGTTCAAACAGAATTATAACTAACATAAATAATACTTAATAAAGAAATCGGAATTTGATAATTTTAAAAACGATCTCGCAGCGTTGGGGGAGATGACGGACTAGAGCGGTGTGTTTTGTACATTGTTTCAATGCCCATTTCTCCAAACAACGCGGTTTAAATGTTCAAAGTTTATATCACAATATCAAAATTTATAACATTATTCACATACTGACAATCTTATTTACTATATTTTGTTCTTATTTTATGAAAATTTTTTGTAGTGAAGTTCATCACTCGCACATTTTTCAATCATCATTTCAAGTTTCCCGGGATATTATCACTCAAAATTGCCTTATTTGAAAAAAATTTCATACCAAAATAATCCCTAAGTCTTTGTGCAGCGATTGGTCTATTGTATGTTCACCTTAATTGCATAATATGACTGTTATTTTCAAATAAGAAAGAGCTATGAAGCACAAATTTGGCCATCTCAAGTAAGAAGAGTTCTTGGTGGCAGCCTGTTTACTTTCACGTCGGACCAGACTGTTGATGTACAGGCGCACTCTTGAAGTCCATCATTCACTCGCAATACCTTGCCCTACGCGGTTGCTACTTCGAGCTCCACTTCGACTTCGAATTCTATCACCATGGCCGATACCGCTGCCGCTGTTGCTGCTCCTGCCCCAGCTCCCGCCAAGAAGGCAACAAAGAAGGCCGCTGCCAAGCCCAAGAAGGCATCGACTCACCCTAAATACTCTGAGATGATTGTGGCTGCCATCACATCGCTCAAGGACCGTACTGGATCTTCCAGCGTCGCAATCAAGAAGTACATTGTTGCCAACTACAAGGTTGATGAGAAGACTATTGGTCCTCAGGTTCGTTTGGGCCTCAAGAGAGGAGTCACCTCAGGGCTCCTGAAGCAGGTTAAAGGAACGGGTGCCACCGGTTCCTTCAAAGTTGCCGAGAAAGCCGCGAAACCTAAGGCAGCTGCTGCGAAAGCACCCAAGAAGGCCGCGAAGAAGCCTGCTACTCCCAAGAAGGCCGCGAAATCTCCCAAGAAGACCGCTAAGAAAACCGCCACAAAGAAGCCAGCTGCCAAGAAGACCCCTAAGAAGTCTACCAAGAAGGTCGCCAAATCTCCCGCTACCAAGAAGCCCAAGGCAAAGAAGGTCAAGAAGCCTGCCACGAAGAAGGCTGCACCCAAGAAGTAATAATATAATTCCATATGGTATTTAATAAGTCATTCATTGTAAATACGCATTGTAGAGAATAAGTTGCCTTCACCGTGTCATCATCGCCGTCTATGTTAAATACGTTGTACCTGATAAATATAATTATCTATACGTATAACTTGTTTTTTTTTTTTTTATATTCACTCTCAAGACCGCTGAAAGAGTCTACATTCCTTTAGGTAGCACCGAGCAGAAATTTTCATTGCACATACACAATCGCAATTTGTGGTTTTAAGCTGCTCATTCATGTGCAACTTTATTTCATTTCGAAGTGAGTATGGTATATATCGATATAAAGATGTATTATCGTGGAAAAAAGATTAGATATTGAAAATATGATCTATAGGCTATAAAATGTTAAGATTCCCACCGTATTCTGATGCAACGAGAACTGCGAGACTGCACTGATGAAGGTGATTTCTCCCACTAGACAGTAATCAGTTTGAAGCTGTTGAAAATCGTCGTAGCATATATTCGGCCGAAATAAGGAGATGGAGGAATCGCCTTTGGCCACCGCAAGAGTTCCTGAGTTGTCCGCACTGAACATAGAAGAATTATGTCGTAAAGTGATGTGCAAGCTTCAGACGATTTTTCTATTCTAAATTAACTCAAATTTACAAACATAAATTTTAACCCGAACTGAGAGAAAATGGTACTCAACTGATAGGAAGAGGGACGGGGCAGCTGCGAGTGATTGATCTCTCGATGGAGATTTTTCAGGGTTTTTGGGTGATGTGAGAATCGTCGTAGATACGATGTAAGACAACTTCATTGAAAAGTTTATTTTAACTCAATTTGAAGAAAATTAAGTTAGGACATTTTCGAAAGGTGCTACGCGTTTCCCAAACACTAACAGGTTTGGGAACTACTGGCTAGGTTTTACTTGAGGGAAGGGGTCCCTGTCCATTTTGGGTGGTTTGTAGTATTGACATTGCACAGGATGGCGGGCTGTGGCATGCTTTCCTTTTACCCGTTTAAGAAATAAATTGCCAGAGTAAGCCAGTCGAAACGACTATAATATGGACTTGAGAATAAGACTTTATCTTCGTTATATTTGAACGGATTTGTTTATTTGAGATTATTTATCGTGCATTTTCTTCGTGTATGTAAATATTATTTATCATGCATTCTGATCATGTATGTAACAGCGAGGCCATTGTTACCCGCCCCTGATCCCATATTAATAGAAATCTTGGTAGATAGAAAAAATAATAAATAAATATCTAAATGATAGTGAAATTTTCATCAGTCATGCTTAACAGACAATGCGTATTATTAACATGAGGGCGAGAGATTATCAGCCATGCATGAGCATTGGACAATGAATAGGCAATTATATTCACCTGATAAAAGAGCGATGAGGTGAAACTGGTCTAAATAACTTTGTAGGTAAGCCGTGCACTTGGAGCTTAGATGCCTTGAGAACGCCCTCGGTATCACTTTGTATGGTAAAGAAGAACAAATCTTCCCTGTCCATTACTGTAGCAACCATGATCATAGTACCGTCTTGTACGCCAAGACTATACAACTGTAACAAGGAAAAACTCGAATGTTAATCTTGTAGAATTCAGAGGAAGAGCGTCTTTACCGTTTTGACGCCTTCCAAAAACTGTTGCAATATCTGTTTGTGTATTACTAATAATATTTTTTCCACAAGACCAAAAGAGTAACAAAACAAATTTGCAGCAAATGAATCAGTGAGGAGTGATGCTTCAAGGATTATTCAACGAAAAATAAGCGAATCAAAATTCACAAAGACATGGAAGTAGGGTGGCCACCGAACCTCGTGCAGTTTCCCGGGTATTCGGACATGAGCCGTGCATGGCGATGCATCGTTGGAGAGGCTGGTGTCTGCAATATTCATCACGGCAGAAAGAAATTACGGGCCAAGTAATAGTTTCACAAATGCTATAAAAGATATTATGGTTACCTTCTTATAAAAATTTATCAAGATCTGTTTGTGCGTGTGTTGGAAGCCTGACGCCGCAGATAAATACCGGTGGTGCTCGAGCCGCCGTTCGAGCACTATCCACAATTTTTTTCGGAGGGGATATTGCTCAAAGAAAAACGGAGCTGTAGTAGATCCAATAGACTTTCACATCCACATGGTCTTAATGTTATCAATAACACAGACTTTTCTTCTAACAGATAATTTTTCTTCTAACAGATGTGATACGAGTGTAGAATAACATCCGAAGATTAAAGTGCGGATTCCAAACGTGCGTTTGCTCCCATTTTCAATCAATCGCATTAATATGATGAACTAATAACTAACAGTTTTTGTTAGATCAGTTTTGCGACTTGTGGCAGTGCAAACTCCAAAATAAGAGTTACAATTGCAGGAAATGTATACATTTTCAAGTTTTTATGTTATTTCTTTGTAATTTGACGATGAATAGATTAAAAAATTTTGGAGCAAAATCTACAACTTCCATTGATTAGAAATTATCATTATAAATGGGTTTTAAAATTAAGCTGTAGATAAGAAGAGTAAAAAACAAAATCGATGTTTTTTGGCCCGTTGACATCTGAGCTCCCAAATGTTTCTATGGTAACATTACATTTTTCATAACATGTTTTAGGGAGTTCATCCAAGGCAACCTTGTATTGATTGTAGCTCACCGTTCTGAATTAAGTTCATTCCTTTGGGCACGCTCAAACAAAATTCTTCAATTTGTGGCAGAGAGTAGAACTTCAAGATAATTCCTTCTTCGTCGCTGTCGTCTTTCACCACCAAGTTCTCTGTAAGAACCCTTTCAAATGAATTCGATGAAAATTTCAATGTTGTTGTAACGAATAAAATACAGGTTTTATTATTTTCTACGGATTTCTAATGATTGTCAGATTGAATAAGATTGTCAAATGATTAACAACATTATTACTTTATAGAGTTTCTAGTATAAGATATTTTATTTTTAGTTTGTTATTCTCATTCATGAGCTAGATGAAATCATGGTTGAATTAATAATTAATTCAACCATGGATGAAATAATCAATGAACCAAGGATTTTCAACTAACCGAAGGACTTTAGAAATTCCCTCCCGTGTAAAACTCTTCTGCCGAGGTACGATAGATGTTTCGTTAACAAGTCAAGTTCGAAAACTCTAACCCAAAGGCTTGTATCTCGAAGCTTGGCTTCAGCTGTGCTTAAAATTTGGCGCTCATTGCCTCGGTGACCTTTCTCTTCAGCGGCCATTGTTAGCAGCTCCAACAGATAAACAGTCGACCATGTACGCTGGCAAACGTCTCTTATTTTTCTGTGCAAAATTCAAAACGAAAAAATATTATTAACTTGGAACTCATATGAATTTATTCAGTTAAAATTAATTCTATACTATGGTATCTGTGAATGATGATCTTGAAAACTTCACGGATCGATATATACTTTCGCAAAATTACGAATCTCTGAGGAATTAATGGAAAATGTACGAGGACAGATGTTCCGATCCTCTTCCCTTGTAAATGCTCTATCCATATCGCTCAACAGTTTGATTTATTGGAACATTTGCAGAGCTGTTGATAAATTTAGATCAGTTACTCCTGAACGTTTTCTGTATTACTGTGCCAGATCTTACCTGCCCATAATCTCGTGCCACATGCAGCAGACACGCGCACAATTCACTGCATCCCACGCAGTCAAATTGCCAAGAATATTCTCCCAAATTTCGGGTGGCAATATCATTATGGGCATCAGGCTAAATTTTCGGTTGTATATGACTTCTTAATCTATGGTCGCCTTGCGTGAGGCACGCAATAACTCCGAAAGTAGACTAAGAGAAAACTCTGCCGACTCCCAAACGATTCCACGTTTGGCACGCACACACGATTTGGTACTCGTTTCGAGAATAATTCCCTAAAAGTTTACTATAAATCCCAACTTGCATGATACAAGTTACATACTTTATAAATGGCCAAGTTTTGAATAATTACAGTTTCTTTGTCTGTCGGAGAAATATTCATCGTTCACAATTCATTTACGGGTCAATTATATGCATAATAACCCAAGTACAGTGTGCGTCTAAACAGCTTCGCTTCTTTCGTAAAACACTTCTCATTATCAAGAGCATGTAAACCCTTTCAATCGAATTCAACATTTTTTACCGAGAATAATAGCTTTGAAAAGTTTGTATTTCAAATTTTGAAATTCGGACACATCGAATGTTACAAAAATTTGCAATATTCTATGTTAAAAACTTGTAACATTCTATGTTACAAATTCTATGCAACACAATTTGGAAGCAACTTGAAGTAGATGGACATTAAAACACGCAAGTACTCTCGAAAATTTTATAGAAGTTTCTTCGCCTTTTTCAATTCCGTGACCTCCAACTTCTTGCGTTTTTTCCTGCACAGCAAGAAACAAATTTAGTAATGCGCAAATACTCTGGAAAATAAATTTCTCTATTATATAAACTTTTAGAGTAATCCCAGAAGTAAGCAAAAGTAAATCTGGAAGTAATTCATAAATTTTACATTGGAAACGGTATTTTTAATCACTGCAGTGTTTGTTCTGAATGAATGATGATTAATGGCAGATACATGAAGTATTACTTGAAGAATTACTAGCAATATTAACCTAATCTCATACCAATCGAAATGAAGATTTCCATATTTGCAACACATATTTGAACGGCCTTTAGGATCTTTCTGAATTTTGAATTGATAGCAAATGATTTATACCATCAAGATAAAATGACTCATTGTAACTGTAATCAGAACCCGCGTGAGCACATCACTCACTTATGAACGTCTTCAGCGTTCTGCTGCTCGCGATCATCGCGCTTCTTCTGCCGCAGCACAAACTCTTGCAGGTCTTCACTGTTCTCCTGAGCGCGACGTTGGCTTTCAACAAGCTCCAGCTTAGCGGCCTCGACTATGCGAGCCGCTTCTTTTAACCCCGTCTCGCCTTCTGGATCTTCTTCAGGCTTCTCCAGCATCGCTTTCTGCAACGGATTTCACATTAGGCTTTAAAAAAATACGCACGTCACGTGACCAACGGCGTCATTATTATCGATGAGAGAAAAAAGTTCAATAAAAGGCGGACACCTATCTCCATGCATTAATTTCTGAAGCTTTCATATCGGAAAAAAATACCTAACACCACCAAAAACGTCTTGTAGGCTAGTTTCCAGTTAAAGGGTAAATATTTTTACAACACAAGTTTAGGAGAGGAAAAACCTCAATTATTTATTTTACGACGATATCCGGTACATCAAGAGATCGTGTGTAGGTTACATATTAAAATAATCATGAAAAAAAAGAATAAGTACATCAGCCAAAGGCTCTACGAAATTGTTAGTTTTTCAAACGATGAAACACCGGAATCGGAGGAGCTGATGTTACAAAAGCAAGCAGACACTCCCATCGTGACTGTAATTTTGGTGGCATTAAGTGATTGCACTTTAGCCTAGGCGTTCATTAAAGATTGCAGTATTTCAAATTTGGTCGTAGGTTTATAGGGTAAGACATAGCAGTGGTGCGTAGCGTGTAAATTAAGTGCGTGTCTCAAAATAAATGTGAATTACGAGGCAGAAAAAATTCAAAGGTCATACGAAAAAATGGCCTGACTCACCAAGGCATCATGGAGGGTGGAAATGAGGTCGCGTTTCTGCTGCAGCACAAGGGCAATGTTCAGAGAAAACTCCTCAGCAACCTGAGCTTCTGTCTTGTTCAGTAGACCTAGACCAACCAACACGGCCTAGAGGATTAATGAGAGACATAAAATTATAATCAACTTGAGTTTAATACGGCAGGTTCTGGAGCAATGGAAAAATAACTGATCTTGAACGGTTGAACTTTCCACTTGAAGAGCAAAGATTCAATTCATTCATACCTAACACAGGCAGAGGCTCTGAAAAACATAGATGAGAAAGAAGCATCCGAAAGACATTAATGCAAGAAAATTAAATTTTTTTGGCGATATTGAATAAATTTTCGACAAAATTAAAAATACCAGATAAATAATGCCTACGTAATAGCGTCTGAAGAGAGAAGGTAGCCCCCATTTATAACTCATCATTTTACAAAGTTAGTTAGTTTAGTGGCCAAATGTTTACTAGCGCTTCAGCTATTTAGCTATCTCGCACCGAAAGTCAAGATGAACACCATAAAGGTGGAAGGTCTCAATTATTCATCACCCACAAGGGGGCGGAAGGTCTCAGATGTCCAGCCCGCTGAAGCTGGCTCGAAAGAAGCAGCGTTAGCATCTCAAAGAGACGAAGTGACAAGGAGGGACAGGTGAAAAGCAACAGAAACGAAGACGCTCGAACAAGAGGTCGCTTACACGGGACGTCGGCCGCCCGCACGAGAGAGACAGAGAAGGGAAATGTAAGGAATCCTACCTACATAATAACTTAACCCCACAACTGAGACCAACGGTCAGACACCGCGAGCTCAGCAGTGGGGCGCTCAGGAACAATCCCCCTAAGAACGCGAAATCCCATAGGACTTCTGACGAGCACAGACACGCGTCAGAAGTCCCCCCCCAATTTAGTCATGATAATTTTCAGAAAACTCTAGGACGCAGTACAAGTTTTCAGAGAACACAAGAATTGCAAAGTAGGCATATGCATATAAAAATCTTGAAGTAATTTCAAGTAATAGCACTCCGAGGATCAGACGGGATTGAGCAGGAGACTCACAGCCTGCACGCTCTTGAGCGAGCAGCGCGCAATGTGCTCGCAAAAGTAGAGCCTGGCGAGCGTGGGCAGAAGGTCCCGGATGAACGCCGCCTCGCATTGGTGTCGCACGAAGTTACTTAAGCGATGCACGTCGCTTAGAGTCACCGCCGTACGAACAGCCTTTAAATTCCCTGAAAACAAAAACCGGTGAATGCAACGCGCTTTGTTTAAAAGTTGACAACACTGGTGTTTGTAATGTAATAAGCTTATCGTTGTATGAACTGCAAAAAATTGTTAGAAATGATCCACAGGTCTTCGCGTTATAAGTGTTGAAGTAAATAACTAGCTCCTATTCGTACAGAGCCGTCTAAATTATTGTGGCAGACAAACATTGCTGAAATTTTACTACAGATTGTCATAAGGACCGGTGAAAGGAAAAGTATTATATCAGCAAAAAAATTACACAAACTTCTGCAGAATCTGAATGCAAGGCTTCACGAGATTTCCAAGCAGATCTTTTGAATTTAAAAATGAGATTAGGTAACTCTTCCAGCTCTTTAATGTTATTTTCAATACGCGAATACCGTAAATAATTACCTTTCTTGGACTTTTTGATGGTGGAGTTTGTAAGCAGACTTAAAGCAAATTGGCTGGAGCAGTTTTGAATGCAGGAATTGATGAGAAAAAGGAGGCGCTTCCGACAGTCGTGCCACAACGTAGTCACCCATTGCACCTCCATTCCGTTGCTTTCTTCCGAGTCTGCGGACCGGTGAAGCTGTTGCAGCATGATTACTGTGCTCTCACCAGTCACGCTGCTGCACTCTTGGCTGACATAAAAACATAGCCAATAATAAATAAATATAGGCGGCATGCAGAGATACTATTTCCAAAATCAAGATTTGAAGAAAATATTTTTCACATATGCTAAACGTTAACTGAATGTAATTAATTAAAAATTATATTGACCTCGAAATTCTCAAAAAAATCATAGATATTGGGTTGATAGTTAGTTTGTTTACAGGCTCATTCAATATATCAGTTGAATGCTTGAAAAATAAGAGTGAGACAAAATATTATTGCTGTGAGAAATTGAAGAGTTTTTCATCTATTCTAATCACTACATTATAAGAATGTAATTCGAAAGCAAGCCTCGTGTCGAAACTATTCATCATAGGAGATTGGCATTCAACATTATAAGGTGAATCACTCGACAAATAAAACTTTACAACGAATAATTGAGTATAATTTACCCAAGGTAGACAAGCGTGAATCCAGCCCTTTTCCAGAAACCCAAGAGCTGTTGAGTTACTCCAAAAGCAACGCCAAGATAATGCACGGCCTCTGCAGGTCGCTGTTCCAGTGGCACCAGGAGTGGAGGCAAAGCTTCCTCAGTGTCTTCCTTGCCGACTTTTGCGAGTTCACCTTTACCCACCACCTGAGCGAAGAAAGGCACCGATAGAAAAAACCCTAAAACACAAGTGATAACTTATTTAGGCAGGTCAAAAGGTAAAGATTCCTGTAGAAATTAAAGTTTTTTAAGATGAAAAAATTTAGATAACCATCAGGCAACAAAAATAAATAAATGAGTGTATACAACGATCAACAAAATAGAGTGGAGTCAACCAACGAGCATTACTGCCTACCACTGACATTGAAACCAACAAGGGAAGATATCTACACAGAAAGTTATTTAAGGGAAAAATAAATATATCTTGTTCATTAACGAGAAACACTAGTGCCAATAAGTGTGCGTTATAATAAAACGTATAAAAAAAATTTTTAAAGACCACGTTTTTCATGTGGACTCAAAAGTAGAAAATAATTTTTCGGCAGCTACTGATCTCTGTTTGCTTTCATTCTCTTGGTCTTTTGTATTTCAGTTAATTGCTACACATGAAACACGTTGTTGCGAGCCAATTTACTTGACTTGATGTACGTATCGATGATACGAAGCGTATCATCGATATACGCAGTCTAAACACGAATATCCTCTCGAGGATGACATGCATTAAAGGTTCCAACCCCAGCTTGTGAGTTCCTTTAGAGTTTATACGCCTGGAAACGTGCAACAAATTATTGATTATTGTATTGTTATCGGGAGCTGAGCTTCCCTAAAAGTTTCAGAGCGCTAGCTAATGGGAAAGTTGGTGAAATATCGATTGCAAGATTTGATCATCACAGACACGAAAGCGAGCTAAGAAAAACGTGGTAAAATAGACAAATATTTCTGCAGGAAAGATACCTTCACAGCGTGCTTGTCGTCGCTAAGTGTAGCTAAGGCGAGCTCCTTTATACTGGCAAGATGGCAGTTGGAGGCATAATATTCCTGTAAGAGTTTTAGTGCCCGAGATCCATAACGGCGGCCCTGCACAGCGGGATGAGTGGCTATGCGCAGCACGCGCGCCCCGGACAGCTGAGGCAGCTCATAATTTTGGAATGCGTTACTCAGAGTCCAAGGAATGAGGTCACCGGCAGGACGCTCACCGTCTGAGCAGCTCAGACCCTTGATGGTCGAACTCCGGCTTATGCCTCCTTCCAGAACAACCTGACGTGTGGAGATTATTGACACCAAGGACGGCTTAGGTTTGTATCATTGACGATTAAATTCACAGAAAGCTCAACCCAATGGCAAAGTTTAATCAAGATTAATTACCACATCGACAATAGTGAGAAATTAAAATAAATGGACAATCTAAGATATAACGGTAAGGCAAATTGCTATTCAAATTATAAGGAAACCCTGCTTTTTAACATACACTAGCAATTCTTCCATGAAAAGAATAAACAAATATACGCATCAAACCTGAATGACGACGAGCACAGATGGAAGCGAATCTGTGTGAGCTTGAGGTGTCAGCAATGCGAAGAGGTGGTGAGCAGGAGCGTCAGACAGCTGCTGCAGGTCATCAGGACTGTTGCGGTAGTGAGACGACACCAGCAGAGACTGAACGCTCCCTAGGAACTCTTCCGTAACCTAATTGATTTCAAAGAAAAGGTTTGAATTTACTTGTCACGAATTTGGTCATCAATTTGCCAATGAATTGATGGTAAATTTTCTGTCTCATCGTTGTAAAACTTTTGAACTCACAAGGAAAGTGATCAACTACAACCTTGCTTTTAAACTGGCAGTTAGTATGCGTGGTGGTGATGTAATTTTGATAGCTGAATAATATATCAAATCAAATAATTCGAGCTTTCACAATAGGAACGGCATTGATGCCAGAAAATCAACATTGATTGCCAGATAAATGGCATGAATGATGTAGCATTTTCCAGGATAATGTTGAGTAGGCGTTGCAATAAATTTAGAAGCAAGTGACCAATACCTGACTGTAGGAAAATAGTGAATCTCTGTTAACGTAGAACAGCTGACATTCTTCAGGAGACGGCAAAGGAGTTGGCAAGGAAGGGAGTGATGGCTCCAGACACAACAATGCTGAGAGCCAAGCCTCCACTGGGTCCCCTGAGCGATATCTGATGCTCTCCTTCAATGTCAGCTGAAAAACAAACGGATTGAAGATAGAAACAATTTGCTCCAAAATATCACATCAAATAGAAAATAAACATTTGCATGGAAAAATTTAAATAATTTGACAAAGTTATTCGTAGAATGAAGTCATTAGTTCAGGCAACTGAAAGGAAAAAGGTAACTTGAAAGACTGAAAGCAAGTTACAATTATTACCTATTTCGTTAAAGTCTATAAAACAAGTTATAGGATTTAGTGTTAATAATAAAAGTATTTAATTATTTTTTTTCAAAACTAAGATCGAGGTTTCTTTAGCAGATAGGTAGTGCTACACCCACATCCAAAATACCTCAATTAATTAAGCAAGATAATTCATAAGATTAAAGCAAATTTCCAACCAACCTCAACAAGTTTCCGCTTAGCCGTAGTTGTGGTCTTCTTGAGATCACTGTTTTGAGGAACCGATTTGTTTGTTTCCTCCCTGAGCTCAGCAATCAGCTTGAGAGCAAGAGATCTTCCTGTACCTTCGTAACCAGCAACAGTGGATGACAGGAATACCAGATATGGCCCGAGAAGACGTCGTACTAAGGGCAAGGGTATGGCAGCGGCTTCATCTATAACCAACAGTTCAGCCTGACCCAGAGCCCAGTCTTCTTCTGGAGTAATATACTGTAAACGGAGGTAGAATATTTGAATAAATTTACAAATATTAGTACATGAAGCAACTGCAAAAAACGCGGATCTATAAGGTGAGAGAGGAACAACTCCATAATGGTAGCAAAAATTAATCAAACTGGTGAAAAACTCCGGAGCAAATTTTAAACTTCCAAATAACAGTGTAATAGTGAAAATCACTTCAACAAAAAAGTAACAAGAAATAAGAAATTAAACTATGATAAAAAATACAAGTTTAAAGACAGTCAAACATTTACCCTAATTTGCAGCTCACAATAAAGTTGAAGCAGAAACTAACCTGAACAACTTGTCTGTAGTCACGGAAGACCTTAATACGCGTAACGCACTTGTGCAAGTTAGGGTCATTAGAGCGCTCGACACTGTAGTGCAGTTGTTCCTCATAACCAACAGCTTGTAAGCCCATTTCAACAAATTCAAAAAGAGTTTTTAAATTTTCTGGACTTGGTGAGGTCACATATATATTTGCATAACCAAATGCAATGGCTTCAGCTGCAAGAAAAAAATAGAAGCAATCAATATTTCAGCGTTTCATGGAATACATAACAAAGGGAACTTCAGTTTGTTGATCTTATCTAGGGTTGTAGATGCAAGAGAATTTGTTCTGATATTAAAGGAAAGCTCTACTTATCATAGTTGATCCAAAAATATACATAGATTGAGCAATAATTTCAAGAAGACTAATATGGTTTCAAGAGCAAATTTTTATAACTTTGAGAGGTAATTCAACTCGAGTTTCAACTATAGCAACCAGTGCACATTTCATCACATATGCTCAAATTATGCAAGAATGAACTGAAATTATAACAGACAGGTGTAAAAGAAATACAGTATTGTCTGCCTGAGTTATTCCGTGTTGGATTGTATCTATAAATTTGTACCTATATACTAGGTCCGATTGTAATTTTTTACTATTATGCAGCCTGACAAAGGTGAAGAAGTTGGTACATTTTATGATACGCACCTATAGCTAAGCCCATTGCAGCACTCTTGCCTCTCCCCCTGGCAGCAGTTAGTGATACAGTAGTTCTCAAGAGCTTCTCTGTGATGCACAGTGAAAACTGTAGTAGCACCTTGGCCTGCAATACAATGTTTGAAGTAACACACAAGAAGAATAATAGTTAATAGTTTGTAGCAGCTGGTGAGAGCTATAGCATTCAGATCACAATTAAGATCATTATCAGATAATAATGATAGTATCTTTCAACATATAATAACACCCAAATTTGATTAATTGCAAATAAATACCTGATCCAAAGTTTTGCAGAGTTCAACCAACTTGCCAACAGGAGGTGTATCAGCAACACTTTTCTTAAGAGCAACAAGTTTGTGGTTTTCTTGAGTGTCTGCAGCATTGGCAAGCTTGTGATTTAGAGGCTTAACAGTTGCAATGTGTGATGAATGGGGAACCACTCGCAAATGATCGTCAATAACAATGCATGTACGACATGTTGAGAGTGACTGCAATAATCTGAGAAAACAAAATATTAGGGACAATTGAGAAATGATCAGTTTTAAATGAATGTGAAAAACAATTCTTGTTACCTTTAAAATTTTTCCACTAAACTTATTCCTGTTGATTTCAAATGCTGTACATTTTATTTGCATGACTAATACCCAAAAGAGCTACCATAGATCCTTCAAACTCCTTAAATTGACATAGACAGAGATTAGAATCTTTATGAATGTGCAAATGTTGGCTATGCCATTAAAGCCCATATTATCTCTGATAAACAGAAAATACCTTTCATTGAATCTTGGTACAATAGTGGTGTGTGCATGAGTGCGGTAGCGAGCATGGACGTCCATGCAAAGAGTATAGAGCTGCTTCAAGGAGTCAAGTGACTGCAGGAGAAGAACAATGCAACCTCCTCCTTCAACTGTCTCCACTACTCGGCACAGGGTATTGGCTGTTACACCTTCAAAATCCTGGCAGAAGAAGTAAAACAAAGTTATACAATTCAATACAAAAGTAAAGGCATTGAATTATGGATGATATCAATAAGGAACAAAACAACATGAATATCAATTGCAATTCAATTTAGAAACAAGGCAGATCTGACCAGAATTAGCAAACTTGTGAATTTCTAATAAAAAAAAATCTGTTTGCAATATAAAAAGTAACATTGAGACCTGAGTGTGAATCTGAAAATGTTTTTTTTTAGGAATTGCAAATAACATACCTGTAGGACACACATTTTGAAGGTGTTGCCCAGGACCCTGAAGGTATCTTTATAGTAGCAGTATTTTATTGTAGTGTTGGAAACAAACTTCTCAAAAAGATTATCTTCATTTGGATCAACCTCGCCAGTTTTAATTGCAGCCTGAATCTGTCTGAATCGCTTCTTCTTATTAGATGATAGAGACAGTTCCTTTTTGTAGCACCACAAAACAGAAGCTTGATGCAGACAGGTGTTGCTCAACATATTATGGATGAAAACCACCTGAAAAAAAGTTTAAAAAAAATTTCATGGTATAGATGTAGAATAATAAAGATTATTTTGTAAAACAAATTCTGATTGTTAAGAGCCTTGGGTGCAACTTTAAACATTGTAGCCAATATATCACATGTGACCTAATGGCAAGATTGACATTCAACAAATTCCAAGATCAACCATTTCATCAATTACGATTGAAAAAATCTTAAAAAATTATGCCTTCAAAACTGAATTTTTTATAGCAGTGGTTCAAGCTTGCTTCTTTGGCCAGCAAACAATAAAAAATAAACCAACTAAGCAAATAAAACAATACCTGATCTTGACTTTTTTGTCCAACGAGGACAACAAGAGCCCTGTGGTGCGTCGCTGCTGCATTTTCAAGCACAGTTCTTATGCGATTGTCTACCTTTAGCCTCATTTTTGAAAATTAAATAAGTAGAATCTCTGCAATGTAAGATGGATGTCAGTAATTAGGCTGCAGGTATTATTACAGAGCATCTGATGACAATTTATGAAATAAATAATTATTTAATTTGTTTAAACAGTTTTTAACAATAATCTCATTGATCTGTGTTCATCAATTGCTTCCAACTGGTAACCCATGAAAATGAATGTTCTTGGTAAATATGTAAAATATATAGAAGAAGCTTTTGTGCATTAGTACCTTACAAGGGCATGGCAACAACTGCCATGGATGTCAGTTACCATTAATATTTTTTATAAATTTCTATTCAGGATTTATTTAGCCACTGCTAAATGATCAATACAGACTAAGCCTGCATCATGATTAATGCAGGATTGACATTTTCCTACTTGTTTCTGAAATCTCGCGGCTCAAACATGACAAATTTTTACTACAATTGGAATCTTGTGGCCTGATAATGCACTTTTGTTAACAATTAGATCAAAGGTAAGTCATCTGGCAGAAATCTCACGGTTCCAGATATGACGGGAAACCTCTAGTCGCAGCCCTATAGGTAGATGTTTTCCACACTTGCACAAATGTATTTCATTCACCAGAATTAAGAATATTGTTCATAGGACAAAGAAAAATTAATATGAAAAGCCAAACAGATAACTTGGGCCAGAAATTTTGCATGTTCTAATACAGTAGGTATATATATATTGTAGGTATATTGTACAGTACCGTAAGTATTTTGTCAGCAATAGGCATTTTGTGCTTACCTCTATGCTTAACTGACAGCCCAAGTTGGCCAACTCATGTTTGGAAATGAATGAAGGAATCTCAAATTATAACTATACATACCATCTTGTTGATCAAGAAGTTTTTTTTCATGTTTAAATCAGGGATCAAATCACTTGATTTTTTGTAAAAAAATCACGATTTTTTTATTTTTTAGATTTTTTTCATTTTTTTATATATTTAAATATATTGAGTGGCAGTCTTTAATTTATATTGAGGTATTGTTATTCTTTGATTAGTATAAATGGATTATGAATGACAAATTGGTATATAAACTTGTTGCCTTTAGTGTGTATTAGGTTCAAATAAATTGAATGTTTTTGGTACATAGGCATCAAGTGTGCAATACATGGTACGTAGCTAGCAGTTTAGCTAATTCTTAAAAGGCTATAAGTAGTCTTCAACTATTTGACTATTTGTTATATATTAATTACAATATACAATTAAAATGTGTTAGCTAGCTTATACAGGGTGGGGAAGAACTGATTGAACAGCTTTGAGGCAAAATAAGAGTATTGGAGGTACATAAAGAAAAAGTTTATTTTCCTCATGATTAGCATAACATACCATTTAAAATACTTATGTTTTGAAAACAATATCAGGAAGATGGGGTTTGTTAGCTGCATCACACTGTTGGAGTTGTTCTCGGAAGTTTCCTACAGCACGTTCAAACGTATGGCGAGGTATGGCCATAACCTCTGCTGCAATAATCTGTCCCCTTAACTGTGGTAGGGTGTGAGGGCGACTTCTGAACACCCTTTCTTTTAGATGTCCCCAAAGAAAGAAATCGCAAATGCTCAAATCAGGTGACCTCTCTGGCCACTATAAATTACCCCTCAGACACCAGACCTCCAGGAAACATACGTTTCAAAACATTGAGTGACATTTGGGCTGTGTGAGCTGTAGCCCCATCCTGCTGGAACCACACGTCTCCCAATGCTTCTTTTTCAACAATGTTTTCCATCATGGGCTGCAAGAAATTTTGCAACATTGCAGCATAGCGATCGGAATTCACTGTTATGGTTACTCCCTCCTCTGAGAACGACTCCAACAGTGTGTTGCAACTAACGGCCCCCATCTTCCAGATATTGTTTTCAAAACATATGTATTCTAAATGGTATGTTATGCTAACCTCTAGGAAAATAAACTTTCTTCTTTATGTACCTCCATTTCTCTTTTATTTTACCTCAAAACTGCTCAATCAATTTTGCCCCAACCTGTATATTGAGAGGTTGAGATTGTATTGACCTTTTAGGCAATTAGAAAGATTTTCCACCCAAATACGAGTATTCTAATTAAAATATTTAATTTCAATCTTTAAATATGTGAATTTAAAACTAGAAACAAAACAATTACAATTATAAGACTATATATAAAATAATTAAATGCAGTGAATGGATATAAAATATTTGAATTGTGCACATAATTATTTCAAACAGTGTTAGCTTTCTCATAACTTAAGTCTCATTTCAAGTCTTATGAGGTTTGTTTGGTTATTGTTCAGTTTATGTTTAGTAGGTATTGGTTTATTGGTCTGAATTAAATGGGAACAGTGCAGTCAGTCAATCAGTCACAACTAGTCGGTGTATATAGAGGGTAGAGTCTGGTAGATTTATAGGACATAAAACTAGTAGATCTATTGATAGTGCTGTGCACTGTACTATCAGCTACCCATCTGTGATGTGACTCTTCAGTGTTTAGAAGATTAGCATTCCTGAAGTGTTTTTGTATATTGAAGCCAGTTAAAGGGTCAATATTTAGCTCATTACCTTGCTCCATACAAACTTTACAAAGCTAATGAATAGAATTATCAATAATTGTTTACTCAAAAATCCCTAAGTGGTAAACACCACCTTGGCCATTATTGGAGGCAATGAGTGCCCTTTTTAGCCATCCATTATGATCCATATACTGTTATTGTTAGTAGGCTAATAGCAACATAAAAAATAACACTTCAAAAAGACAAAAAAGCTGAAAAAATAAAAAAAATCATGAGAAATAAAAAAATCATTGATTTTTGATTTTTTTGATTTAAAAAAAAATCAAAAAATCACCAACCCAGGCAACCCTGGTTTAAATGTTTTATTAACAATTAGACAGATAATACATCTGACAGGACATTTGGGAATCTTGCTGTTTCATAAATCATTTATGATAAATGGCAGTCAGGATCTAATTCCATTTCCAGCGCCAATGGTAGATAGATTTCATTCCTGTGCCAGTACTAATTTGGACAAAACTAATTTTTTTAGACTACGGTAACTATTTTTTTCGAAAAAAAAGCAATGCAATTTAATTTACATACATAAACAAAGGATAATAAAATTTATAGAGCATTCATAATAATATGCATTTCAAATTACCTTTTAAAGGCAACACTTGTAAAGACTAAAGAGGCCAGTGTTGAGAGTCTCCGAAGTTACACATATACAATGAATTTCTTATTTTATTTTGAATATAAAAAAAATTATTTAAAAAAAATTTCTTCAATATTAAATTTTAACATTTCTTAAATTATTTGTTCTGTCAGTTGATTCAAGCATTGTCTCTGACTTTACATGCAAAATTTCAGATCAATTGGACAGAATTGTGATAAGGGGAGCATCTGGGTCCCAGAAAAACTTTATTTACTGACAGATCACTTTGAAACTTGGTACACAAGTGTAAAATAAATATATGAGAATTTTTTGTTCATGTAAATTTTTCAAAAAATGAAAGAAAATGTGAAATTATTAGAAAATGGACAAAAAGGGAGTACTGTAGAATCCTAGGAAGAAGGGGGGATATCATAGAATCTCCTCCTACAATTATCAAGCTACAACATTGAGACCACACTCAAGATTATGCAGGGTTTTGGGGAATTTTCCCACACATAATGAGTTTTAAATTTTATGTTCGCTCAGATGTCGGTGCAAATTCCGGTCATCCATTTCACCCCAAGCAGTCATTGGCGAAAATGCAGTTTGTCAAGGAACAGTCAAACAGACAAAATATTCAATATGCGTTTAATTATCCTCCAATAATATATGATTTTCCTTGATATGAAAATTTTGTAAAAGTAAAAACCTAGAATTTTATTTTAAATTAAATTATCTACAAAATTTTCTGGGAACGTTGCTTGTTTACCTTCCATATCTAGGTAATCAAATATTCTGTCCATTTTTTATTTTGCTTGTTCTATATATGCAATTCTAATTCATCCTAATTAATGGAAAAATAGTTTTTGAGTGCAAAAATTTTTGTAAATAGTACAATATTCCTAGACATAGCTGTAATTAGAAATTCCCAACAGAATGGTATGGCAACATTGTCTTTACAGACTTTTACGTAATGCTGATACCGTCAACCGGGGCTACTCGGGACGGTTTTGAGCGATTTTTGTTAATAACTTCTTACCATGAAACATTTCATAAACAAGTTTAGGCTCATTTTATAGCTCTTTGCAAGGGCTATCGAATGGCATCTTCAAAAAATTCCATATGCTATTTGTAAGGTGCCAGAAGCAAAAAAGAGTGTCCCGAGTAGCCCCGTCGAATGGGGCTACTTGCGACACCTGCAATTAAACTTTGTTTTAAAATATTTGAAGCATGCAGAGTGTACTCATCCATTACTAACAGTACTCTGAAATCCTCCTCTTTCATTGTAGATGATGTAGAGGTAGAATAAATGACATTTTCTGTGATTTTTTAATAGGTGTATCAAACATAAAATATGTTATATAGGTACCTATGGTGATTTTAACTTAATTTCCAAGCCGGTCAATGTTACCCCATCACGGCTGTCATCAGGTGGTCAAAGTTTCCCCATTGGGGGGCGGTGCCCCCCATTTGCAAACTATGACACTTTCCTAAAATTTGTCTTTTGCATATTTAACTGGAAGAGTTCTACTACAATGCATCAAAACCTGGAGTTATTTTACCAAAAAATAGAAATATTGGAGGGGGTACTCCGACAGGCATTAAATAATAGCTCTTTTTTGTGGGTCACATTAATAATTTTTTAACCTATTAGATATGCAAACTTTTTAAATCTTTCTATTGTGTTCCATAGCCTCAGTATTAGGCCTTTGATGGCCATTGACTAAATTTTTCTATGTCAAATCGTTTTTGAGTTTTGGGGGTTTTTGTTAAAAAAACGAAAAGTGGTCAAAGTTACCCCACCGGTCAAAGTAACCCCATTTTATGGTAGCGCTTTTCACCATTTTTTTTTCAGGAATTTTTCAAAGCTAGAAAATGTATTTTTCGACTTCCTTTATGCTACATAGATAGGAAAAATGTTGACATTTATGCCACTATATTTAGATTTGCAATATTCCAATTAGTTTTGCTACTATAACAGTTTTACGCTGTGTCGGAGGACTGTCCCGAGTAACCCCGGTTGACGGTCCATTGTCATGTGTCAGGTGATGTGGTTTTACAAATCATCACATGTGTGGTAATGTGTCCCTTGAAGCTATTAATATTCTATTAACGTTTGTCTATATAATTGACCTTAAAATTTGCAAAAAATTAGAACTGATAATTAAAAAATAATTTCTGTGCCAGCATTTTTTTATTCAAAGGGTTTGTGCTGCACAAACCCATTCCACCAGCTGGGAGGATGTTGGGAATGTAACTTATTCCCAACATAGACATACGGGTTTGTACCATTTGCCAAAATCAGTCCTTCATTAGAAGGCACCAATCTTAAGCCATGTGGATTGTCCCCTTCTATTCTTCAGTTTTGTAGTTCATGTCCAACCAAATTGTGATCTATGAATAGGGTAAACGCACCATATTCTGACACTGTGGGTAATTCTTGACACCTCTTAACTTTTTCCTATTTATTAAGCTTGGTCTTAGTTCCACGCATGCGTAGATGGTAGAAATAGTGAAATCATACTATTGCATAAAAGATTTCCGCAAAACAATAGGTCTAGCGGAAAATGTTAAGATCCGCAGAGCGAAAGTCCAAGTCAGCTTAGTGAAAACATCAAAACACGTATATGAAAGTTGATAGTTGACCTTGCTTTAATAAATAGTGATAAACTTTTTGTAGAAAGAATATTATGGTTTGAGACTTTTAAGTAAGTCTGTGAATATATTAAAAATCCTTTAAGTATACTTGTAATTGCTGATTTCAAGTGGTAAATGAATTAATAGATGATTGATTTAAGAGATGGTTTTAGGCACATATCCAATTCAAACACAGGGTGTTGGAATTACGAGTTTGAAGTGCTGTCGGAATTAGTCTCACAATATGCCGCATTTAGTCACACACAGTGTCAGAATTCAGTGATTTTGTAGATTTGAATTCTAAAGGCTTTCAAATAAATATGGCAACAGTTTGTGACATTTCATCATTGCTGGCACATAGTGTGGTGTTTTGAGAGCAACATAAACCAATCAGAACTCAAGTTGCACATACGGTGATCTATTTATAGCCATTTATTCTTGCTATGTCCTTAAGGTGTCTGAATATGCTGTGTTTACCCTAATGAATAAATATTCATAACTGTGCCAATTCTTAGAACCTGGCTTAACACATTAGAAATCTAGTCAACTCTATGCAGACACATGTTTGTGTGTGATGGCGTTGCAGCCCATTGCCGCGCATTCATCTTTGAACAACTTTTGGAGCACGGCACACTGCGCATTTCTTTACCAGCATATTACGGCGCATAGTGACAAAGCAGAGTTTTTTAGACTCTCCCTCAAGTTCATTTTTGAGGCCTATTAGTAGACCAGTAAAGTATCATGGATACCAGCATTCTCATTGGGTAAATGCACCATATTCCGACGCTGTGGGTAATTCCGACACCCCTAAACTTTTTCCTTTATATCAAGCTTGGTCTTAGTTCTACGCATGCATAGATGGTTGAAATAGAGACGTCATACTATTGTGCACCAGATTTCTGCAAAACACTAGGTCTAGCAGGAAAATATTAAGATCTGCAGAGAGGAAGTCCAAGTCAACTAGTGAGAATATCAAAACACGTATGATGAAAGTTGATAGTTGACCTTGCTTTATTAAATAGTGATAAACTGTTTGTGTAGAAATAATATTATGGTTTGGACTTTTAAATAAGTCTCTGAATATAATAGGAATCTTTTAAGTATACTTGTATTTGCTGATTTTAAGTGATAAATAAATCAATAGATGGTTGATTTAACAGACGGTTTCAGACACATAAAAACTAATTCCGACACGGTGTCGGAATTATGACACAGCCGTGACACAGGGTGTCACATTCCGACACAGCTAACACAGGGTGTCGGAATTCCAACACGGGGTATCGGAATTACAAATTACGATTTTGAAGCACAGTCCAAATTAGTCTCACAATATGCCACATTTATTCACACAGTGTTGGAATTCAGTGATTTTGTAGATTTTTTAAAGACTTTTAAATAAATATGGCAACAGTTTGCGACATTTCATCATTGCTGGCGCGTAGTGTGGTGTTTTTAGAGTGATGTAAACCAATCGGAACTCGAGTTGCGCATATGGTGATCTATTTATAGCCATTTATTTCTTGCTACATACTTGAGTTGTCTGAATATGGTGCGTTTACCCTACATAAGAAATTGGTCAAAATCTTGAGCAAAGGAGGAAATTAAAAATGAACTGATTCTAAAAAAGCTCTGGTTTGCCACTATGCTATGGCGCACAGCAAAGATTGATAAAATGACAATATACCTAAATTCCCACGAACCTGGCACATCTTCCTGACCATGGCATTGAGATGCATATCATTCATCATTCCATGTGTAAAGACCATATCAATCGATTGGTCTTAGCTTTTTTGAAATTCTAATTTTTGCAGGTTGGGATGCATTTTTTATAAGTTTTTGAATTCCCTCTCCCCTTCCCTCCTTTTTTCAAATTATTTTAAAAACCATACAAAACAAAATAGAAAAAAACTAAGACCATCCTCTAGATCTTTTATTCACAAATCGAATGGTATAACTCAACTCTGTAGCTTCAAAACTGTAGGATGAGATAGTTTTCCACTCCCAGTGACAATAGGGTAAATGCGGTATATTCCGTCATCGTCGGTAATTCCGTCACCTCTCTAGTTTTTCCTTTATATTAAGCTTTGTTTTAGTTCCATGCGTTTGTTGATGGTTGAAATGGTGACGTCATACATTTGCGCGTCAAACTAATGCCAAAACACTAGGTCTTGGCCATCTAGCGGGAAAATATTGAGTATTTTAGAAGAAATTTTCTCCAAAGTCATATGGCAACACTGAACACCGTCTGTTTACATTTTGTATGTATAATAGCCGCAGTTTACGATTACCGTACGTTCCGTATCCGACAAGGCGGACAAGCAGAACAGTCAGAAGTAACCTGGACATGTCTTACATTTTATTATTGTCAGTTCGACTCGCGTAGTCAATATACTTGCGTATATTGTCGACTAAAATAGTAGAACTATTTTAGCTTACTAAAGTACAGCGCATTTTTTTACCAGCATAGTACGGCGCACCGCGCAGGTCGTTAAAATGACAAAATAAATTCCCGCGCACCTGGCACATCTTCCTGACCATGGTCCAGGCATATATGATATATGTGCAGCAGTGCAGGTGCCGTTAATATTCCCAGTAGGGATTTTTTGAAGGACTCAATGGAAGGTAACTCTTTGGGATCTATCATGAACCCATAAATCAATGCAGAGATGATTTTGGTACCACTGGTTACAGTGGTTAGTGGTTAGGTCAGTATATCAGCTTCATTTAGGGTAAATGCGGTATATTCCAACACATTAAGGACGCATCGAGAAATGAAAAACTATAAAAAAAACCGTATGCGTTATGTAAGTTCTGTTGCCTTCACGTGACTCTCAAAACACTTCACTACGCGTCAGCAACGATGAAACGTCACAAAATGTGCACAACCTACCAAATCCCTATATTCCGTCACTGTGTGTGGCAATATTCGACACGTGGTGAGTCGTATTGCGTCAGCGTTTCAAATTTAACTGATACGTAATGCCGACATCCACGTGTTCGAATTCCGTTCGCTGTGTGAGCTGTATTGGGATACAACACAGCTTTGAATTAGAACACTAACGAATATTGAACACTACTTAATTACGTTTTAATTAACAGCTATTAGGCTTTAAATTAAGCAAATTTCAATTTTTGTACAAAGCTTTGAACGATCTGTGTGTGTCCAATTCAAGTTGTGTCAGAATTAGTTTTCATGTGTCTAAATCCATTTCTCAACTTCATCATCTATTAATTTATTTACAACTTGAAATCAGCGAATACAAGTATACTTAAAGGATTCCTAATACATTCACAGACGTATTTAAAAGTCTCAAACCATAATATTCTTCCTATAAAAACAGTTATTCACTATTTGGTACAGCAAGGTCAACTGTCAAATTTGACACATTTTTCGATGATCTCACCAGGTGGCATGCATTGTCTCTCTTTGGATCTCAATATTTTCCCACTAGATGGCCAAGACCTAGTGTTTTGTCAGTATTTTGACGCGCAAATGTACGACGTCACCATTTCAACCAGAAACAAACGCATGGAACCATGGTGAAATTCCAGCATTTGTATGGTAACATCGTTCATCGCGATAGCTCCCCCGTTCTTTTTTTATCGATGGGGGGACTTCAAGAGGTCTCCACAGAGAAGGAGGTGCAACCAGGGAATTGGCGGCTGTGCTATTGTCTCCACTGAAGGTATGACTGAGAACAAAAACCTGATAGAGATAACAGGAATAAGTTCTTACCAACCTATAACAGCAAGAATACCTATTCCACAGGCTAAGTTTCCACAGGCTGCCGCTGCCGTAATAAGTTCCACAGGCTGCCGCTGGCGCTAGAATCATTTCTATGCACGGCTAGGTCATGAGGCAGGCTGTTTGATTCCCCGACTCTAATCCCTTACCAGCCAGCCTCCCTGCGACGCTTGATCTTGCCCCAGAGGGCGTCAGTGATTGTGCTTTCTCTTGCGTCTCCTGCCAGCTGCGAGTTGCGGTCTGTTACACGTTTCTTGGCAGCTGAGAAAAAATAAATGAAAGAAATTCACGAAAAACTTCGTCAAGTGTATGGAGAAGAGTGTATGAGCTCCGGGATAGTGCGTAGATGAGTCAGGGACTTTGAAAATGGCCAAACTGACGCCGTGCATGGATGCCCGCTGCTGCTGGTGGTCTGCTGTGAGCTTTTTTGTACCCATCTTGCGTAGACCTTTGAATCGACTAAATTTTCAGGCAAAATCTCAATTGTTTTTTTCCAACCTCAAAAATTTTTCACACAGCTCTTAAACTGTAATCATTCTATCTTCAAGCATTACCGCTTCAAACTTGGCAATTGTTACGTCAGAAACCGATGGCCGCCCAGCACGGCCGTCAGTTCGGCCGTCGTCGAGGACGTCAGTTCGGCCATTTTCAAAGTCCCTGACTCATCTACGCACCATCCCGGAGCTCATACACTATTATCCATACACTTGACAAAAGTTCTTCATGAATTTCCTTCACTGATTTCTTCTCAGCTGCCAAGAAACGAGTAACAGACCGCAACTCGCAGCTGGCAGGAGACGCAAGAGGAAGCACAACCACTGACGCACTCTGGGGCAAGATCAAGCGTCGCAGGGAGGCTGGCTGGTAAGGGATTAGAGTTGGGGAATCAAACAGCCTGCCTCCATGGCCTAGCCACGCATAGAAATGATTCTAGCGCCAGCGGCAGCCTGTGGAATAGATTTTAAAAACACGTCTCGTACAGGCAACAAATAATGTTTAGTTTAGGGACATGCAGAAATATAATTTTGCTAGCCTCAGCAAAAAAAAAAAGAAATTTTCGATTTGTTTCAACATTCCACAGCTCTCACCACGTGTCCTGAAAGAACATAAAACCTATGACAGTCATAAATCAGCATTAAGCTGACAGAGAAGGCCCGCCATTTGAGATCCCGCCTTGGTGAGATGCGTTTGGAGTACTACTCCCATACGAGCTCCCCTCCTCCAGATGGTCAACTGCTGACAGCACACCTGCAAATTCAAAAGTCCGTCAATTCACGCTACACAACACTGCTACTTTCCAATGCCAAATAAACCTATCAAAACACATGGAAAAAAGAGCATGGGTCAAAGGCACTGAAAATACTACACATGATTTACAGCCCGTTCAATGCATGTGGAACTTCTAACATTTGAAACAAGTATATAGGTACATACATTTAAGATTTTGCCTGACATTATTCAACAAGTCTCATTGCAGATTTAGATTTTAGGCTATCATGTCCGCTGTTGTATTCCAAACAATCGCTGCTTGAGTAGCAAAGGGTAACAATACTGAGTTTGCAGGTTTTTCACTACTTGAAAAAATCTTTCCATCATGATTTTCTCCTTAGATAGAAAGGGATTGTGCTCGCCCATCTTACAGTATTCACTGTAAGCATTTGTGTGCAGATGCTGGAGATGGCGCACTAGGTTGCTATAAGTTGTTTTATTGTATCTAATTTTTCTCTGACCAAATTTGCAAAACTTACAAACTGCCTCTAATCTATTACTACCAGATATTTCTCTAACATCAGAGTAAGCAAATTATTCTGCATATGCTGTCAATAATGCTGATTAGTGATTATAGTTACATGCATGAAAATATTATTTTCACTTACCTTGACTTTGAGTTGGAGAAAAGGAGAGGTACTCTAGTCTCTAACTCTGAGTGCTGCACTATGCAGTGCGAATGTGACACTGACAGACTCACAGACACAGAGACAGTGCCAGTGGCGACACAGCCAACACTGAGTCACTGACAGCAACACAACTGCTGTCTACAGACACAGTTCGGGAATGGGGGTTTAGACAGTCCTTCAGGCTTCAGCAGTCAGCACTGCAAAAATAACATTAATTACTAATTTTGACCACACTCAACAGCTGGTTGCCACAAGTAAGTTCAAGTTCATTACTACTGAGGTCTGAGAGAGTTAAAGTTTTCTGTCTCTCATATGTCATATCACTGTCAGAGACTTGTCTAGATGTCTCTTGCTTCAGTTCTGTCTCAACTCTCAAATCTCTCAGACTTTCAAAATACCATTCCATTTGAATGATTAAATTTTGATTTCTCTGCCTTAATTAAAAAAATAAATAATTTAATTGTTAACTAAATACTAATTATTAATTAAATAATTACTAATAATAGCATAATGAATTTAAATAAAAAAATTGATAAATTAAAATATGTAAATAAATTTATTATTTATTTTGCTAATGCTTATTTTTTTATATAATGGATTTAAATCTGATCAAGCAATAAATTTTAAATATAATTAATTATTATAATTAATAGAATAACTATTATTATTATACATTTTTAAATTATTATCGAATCATAATTCAATAATAGTTTATAATTATTACTGAAATTGCATTATCCAAAGGACCAAATCCTTATAATTAATAGAATAATTATTATTATTATACATTTTTAAATTATTATCGAATCATAATTCAATAATAGTTTATAATTATTACTGAAATTGCATTATCCAAAGGACCAAATCCAATACAGACACATAATTTTGACTGAGAAATTCATTTAGCCTAGCCTACATAGTACATACGAATACGACTCTACAAGATAAGAACATAAGATGGTCCGAGTGACAAGTCTACGATACGATTGAAAGAGTGGTAAGACAATAAATTACAAGGCACAAGCACAAGGCGATAATAAAATAAACCATTTTCATATAAATTTGAATTAAATATTTCATTAAGTATTACTTACTTCGAAAGTTTGAAGTACGAGACTACGAGACTTCGAGACAACTCACTCGACGAGAAGCCAGCCGTCACCGAGTGATTAAACAGCCGGGAGCAGGCACATTATATTTGAAAAATTCAGCAGCAGCCAGTAGCCACTGGTAACTTTGAGTTCGATATTAAGTATTGTTACTACTTACTAGTAACTCACTTGTTAGTTGTTACTAGTAGGTTGCTAGGTAAAACGTAGGACGGTAGGATAAAAGACACGTGTTACGAGACAATCACTAGATGGAAAGCCAAAAAATATAGATGTCGGGCACTATAAACAAAGGAAGATCGAATGCAGAGAAGTAACACTTTCACGTGATGCAAACTTCAAACACTATTTGATTTTCATTTAAAGTGCTGAATATACAAGAAAAAATTATTTTAATGACAAGTTTCGAACGCTTGAATTTATTTTATTTCTTTAGTTATATTTTAGTCCTTCAATACTGAAAGGATTTACTTCAATTTTGGAATATAATTAGTTAGTATCAATACACTGCGGTAGAGATTATCACAGATTTGAACATTATTCTGTTTTCAATTTAAATGAATAAACCATTTTTTCAAGTTTAAGAAACCTAATAACTCACAAGTCATTGAAGGACATGAGTTGTTAGGGCACTTTAAAAATGTGTTGTTCTTTGTTTTAATTGAAAACGAAGTAATGTAGAAATCTGTACTATATTAATTTACTTATTGTTTATAAGACTGTAATTACTGACGGTAAAATATCATATGAATGTCGATCCGGTCAAGAAAGTTCGTTTTAGGGCCTAGGGGTAAGATGGTAGCAAGGTGAAAAGGAAATTAAGAGGAAAATTCATATGGTTTATTATTGCTATATCTCAGTTTTTGCCTGTGTAACTTTACATTTATATTAATTTAGTGATATTGTTTTGAGAGTTTGAACCATATTTTAGAATTGGAATTTGGTATGTATACAAATTGGAATCGGGAAGAATTTTTGAAAGTTTTAAACATAAATGAGAGATAAAACTTTAAATGAGACTAAATGAGATCAACCAGAGATTAGGTCAAACAATAAACTACTGAAATAAAATTCAGTTCGATTTTTCATTAACAATAACTAGAGGTTTGGGGTAATGCAAATTTTGCTAGGGTAGTTTCGATACAGCCAAGTAAACATGAGCGTTCATGTAAAGCATGTGATATTCAAGGTGACGTTTTCGATGTTTTAAACATTAAATACGTCTTTAAGGCACAGTTTAAATCATCCTGTCGTACTTTATTACTACTTTTCGGTTTTTATTATGTTTTTTGCACATATTAAGTGCTTTATCTACTCCTAAGCTTGCTAAACTAATGATTAAAACTTTGCGTATACGATCAGCAAAAGGGGAGTCTGTCAAAGTAATTATAAGTTTACCCTCCAATATTTAAACTTAGAAAAGGAGTTACGTCGAACGAAGGGTCAAATACGATAGATGATGAATTTTTCTATAAAGAACAGTGTCTGTTTTTACATAATAATAATTTTTAATAAATTTAATTGATGTTCAAAGACTCACGGACCATCATTTTACATTGTTCGAGTGATTAGGTATCGAGTCCACTGGACGAGCGATGGTGCAGCCGGTCCCGGAAGTTAGACCAGTTGACGACTGTTTACCACTGAGTGAGGGTGTGTAGGCCGGCCGTTCCTCCTTCTTGGGTACTGCGTTCATAGACTCCATATGACGTTGGTCATTTATAATGACCTTTGAATTGCACCATGACTTAATCATAAAAACTAGCAATTAGAGACCTAAATTAGCTTAATTGAGTAAAGTATATATATAGTATATATATAGTATGACGTGCGGGCGCTCACGTTATAGACGAGCAGGCGCTAACGCTGCGTATCGTCGATACGTACGTCAAGCCATACTTGATCAAGTCCTAATCGTTTTTCTTGTGGACTAAAAAGTATAAAATAAAATACTTAAAAAAAAAACTTTTTTAAAAAACCACGTTTTTCTTGTGGACTAAAAAGTAGAAAATAAATTGTTGCTCGCCCCAAAAAACGTGGGTCGGGCTGTACGTTCACCATCAAATTTCCAAAATTCGTGTGTTGTGTGCTTTTCGTTTTTTTATCATGAATCTGCCAATATGACGTGGGTCGGGCTGTACGTTCACCATCAAATTTCCAAAATTCGTGTGTTGTGTGCTTTTCGCTTTAATCTGCCCAACACACGTTTTTAAATCTGCCCGACACACGTTTTTATGGGTGAGCAACAATTTATTTTCTACTTTTTAGTCCACAAGAAAAACGTGGTTTTTTAAAAAAGTTTTTTTCAAGTATTTTTTCTTCTTGGCTTCGAACTTCGCGCGGATTTCACTTTTCTGATTGCGCTGCGGAATTCGACTTGAATTCAGTATCAATTTTGTGCATCCTGCGGAATTAGTGTCAATTTTTTGTAGCCTAAGCCCCCTGCGGAATTCATTAACAGGTGGACTAATCCCTCTGATGTCACGTATTTTCCACTTAGGTGACAGTGCACCGTTCTGAAAAAAATTAGATTAGGATCAGTTTGTTAATGAAAAACCTAGAAACCTAGTGGAAAGCAAAAAACCTAGATCTAGGTTTTTTCTGCTTCGGAGCGCGGGCGCCACAGTGCCTGCTGGAGTGCTGGGGCTAAATGCCCAAGGATTTGCTAAAAAACCACCATGATGAGGAAATTAAAACAGAACTGATTCTAAAAAAGCTCTGGTTTGCCACTTACACTATGCAGTTTGGACTGGCACAGAGTGACTGACTGACTGACTCACTGGTAATCATTCTCATGATTCTGGTTAAAGCCTGATTAATATAACACATAGTGACAAACCAGAGAGTTTTTAGGGTATTATTGCAGATTAACTACATCCAAAAAAAGGGTGTTTTTTTTTTAATTATATGTTTTTTGGGGTGTAGATTACGAATCTGATATCCATTTTTGGCGGTCGGCATCGGAAAACCGATTTTTTGCAATTAAAATGCTATCTAAAAAAAGGAACTTGGCTGACTTAACCCAACCTAAGAGCTTTTTGTAAAATTTCGATGAACAATCCGACCCTTTATATAAAGGTGAGTGGGTAACGTAAGTTACGTAACCCCCATGTTAGTAAATAAAGGTGAGTGGGTAACGTAAGTTACGTAACCCCATAGTGGCAAAGCAGCAATTTTTTTAGACTCTTCCTCAAGTTCATTTTTGAGTCCTATAAGTAGACTAGAAAGTATCTTGGATACCAGCATTTTCATACATAAGAAATTGATTAAAATATTGAGTAGATGAGGAAATTAAAAATGAACTGATTCTAAAAAATCTCTGGTTTGCCACTATGCGTAACCCCCATGTTAGTAAGTCGCGAAAAAAATCGGTTTTCCGATGCCGACTGCCAAAAATGGATTTCAGATTCGTAATCTACACCCCAAAAAACATATAATTAAAAAAAAAAACACCCTTATTTTTGGATGTAGTTAATCTGCAATAATACCGTTTTTAGAATCAGTTCATTTCAAATTTCCTCATCTACTCAAGATTTTAATTAAGTTCTTATGTATGATAATGCTGGTATCCATGATACTTTACTGGTCTACTTATAGGACTCAAAAATGAACTTGAGGGAGAATCTAAAAAACTCTGCTTTGCGTTTGCCACAATGGCACAATGATATAACAATAGGCTTCGCAATGAGTTAGAGAATGAATTTTCATTTATTATTTTAAGAAATTCACCATTATATTAGTTTTATTTGCAACTTCAATCAGCAAAGACATCTCTCACGGCCTCACCTGCAAATGAATTAGAAACGTCAAGCAAACCCTTGGACCTCCATGACCCAAGTAGCACGCCGACAACCCGTTTCTTTATACCAGATTTGAACAATCTTGTCGAGTGGTCCACAACGCTTAAAAGTACAAGAGGATGAACCACTACTTTAGAAACAGGAATCGAATTCTCTGAAAAACTACTCATTTTGCTGTGTTGCAAACACCTCTCACAGCCTGCTCTCACTGTCCTACGTACCAAACAGGAGTTGCAATGACCTGATAAGTGTACAAATTGAAAATGGTCTGAGAGAAGCACACAATAAGTACCGATGAAACCAAGAAATGAATAATTTATGTTTTCCGCATTTCATCATCGATATATAAACAAAAAAATTTCGTGAATTGTATTCACGAATTTATAATAGTCTTATGTCATTGAGATATGTGGAGTACAATTTTGTTATTTTTTCGCTTGCCTGAGGTAGGAAACTGATGTATTAGGCTGGCTTAAATAACAGGAGCAAGGGGATGGAGTGACGATCGCTAATGATCACTGAATAAAATTATGAGAACGTGAGCCTCAGAAAACGTGGCAGGCAAGGAGATAAACAAAGAAGCTCTGATATTCAGCTATTCACCAGTCAGTTACCACTGCCAGAGCACGAGCATTCTTCGTCAGTCAGTGACCACTGCCAGAGCACGTGCATTATTCATCAGTCAGTGACCACTGCCAGAGCACGTGCATTATTCATCAGTCAGTGACCACTGCCAGAGCACGTGCATTATTCATCAGTCAGTACCACTGCCAGAGCACCTGCAGCATTCATCAGGCTCTGACCACTGAATTATTAGCCAATGGTCATTATTCATCACTCATCCGTCATTGACATCAGAACAAGTGCATTATTCATCAGTCAGTGACTTCCACAATTAGTTTAGAAATGTCGTTAATTCTCGTGTGGTACAAAATTGCAAGAAAATGAGAAAAACTACCAATATTGAACTCTTAAATCCACAAAATAAAAACAAAATTGTTGATACAAATGCGAGGTAAGCCCTTTTTAGCGCATTTTCTCATTTATGGAAAAAATGCACTATTGTGCTCGCCATGTCCGTCTGTCCGTCCGTGACCTAAAGTTTTCGTCGACGATAAAATGCGCTCTCTGTCACTCACTGCAGTGAGTACTGAGTTATATATTTTTTATCAAAGTCCGCTTTAGAGTACGAGAAGGGGACTCAAAAAACATTCGGACTGATTTTTGAAGAACAGTATTTATATCTCAAAAATCTTCTTTTACAATTTGTTGAAGTGAGCTCCAAGTCACTTGAGATAGTTTCGCGAGTTCGTCAATATTTCTACGTCGATCTTCGCGGGATTAGGTACGTAATTTTCTCAACATTTTCTTCAGTGCGGTAAGTGGAAGGACGACCAGAGCGAGTTTGGTCGTTAATTGAAACTTCCCCTTTTCTGAAGGGGCAGAAAAATTTAACAAAAAACTTGCGTTCTCACCATAGCATCATCCTTGTAGAGTGTCATTTCCTTTGATAGCGGCACGTTGCCCCTGAATATCGGCAATCATACAAATATAACTCAGTACTCACTGCAGTGAGGATAGAGCGCATTTTTTCGTC